TTCCATCAATAATGGAATCGAATCTATTCTGCAAGATTAAACATTCTACTTTGACCAGTGACAAGTATATAATATATAGACAAAATGACATGAGACAAAATGAAGCAAAGTAAATGTTGAACACCAATTGAAAATTAAGTAATACAGAAAAATACAGGACAGTGCTGGTACAGAATTCAGGAACTCCCTTTTTAGTCCTTCTGACTATTTCATTTTGCCCTACTGTCACACTCTTTTTATCACTTCATATTATGCCCTTCATACTGTCCTTCAACAAAACACACTGTTATCTGTCTTTTCATTCTGTCTTACCATAACACACATTTTGTTATCTGTCCTTCATTTTGTCTTACCTCCACATGCACTGTTTCTTACAGCACCATCATTTATTGACTGATATTATATTAAACAATATTAAACATTTTTAGTGATGGTTCCAGGCATTCAAGGATTTATACGTTTTGAGAGAGATGCAGGTTGTTTGGGTCAAGTCCTTTTAGGCTATAAATAGATTTTCAAACTTGTATTCTTAACTAAATTAGGGTCTGTCCATCCTTTCAGGCTCTAAGAGTATAGGGCCTGGACATTACAATTTATGCCCTTAAAGGTTAAGATAACCCAACCTATTTATTTTGATTTTATTTTCCTATTTCTTTCTTAGTAATGCTGTACTTATAATTTTGTGAAAAAAGCATCAGTGAGCATATGTCGGCATTACCAATATTCTTGTTGTCATAACAAAGTTTAAGTTACGCCGAAAAATCACGTTCAAACTTAATACTAAATCATATACAGAATTAACATTGACATTATTAACATAGCTAATGTGCATTTAACTTTATGTTTCCTTATAAAAAAAGACTTACAGACTTATTAAATGCTTTTAATAGCATTTCATATTGAAGGTTTCGTTTCCGCTGTCAGCAAAATAATGTTTTAAAAGTCTGAACATCCATACATCTTTCCTAAAATACATAATAAACTGTTCCCATAAATCTTTACAGAAAATGAATATAGTATTTTAACTGCTGTCTAATGAGGAATACAGGACAGTACGTGTTTATAGTCTTTGTTCACAAACACCTCTATTGTCTATGTTAAATGATACAGTTTTATAGCTTGTCTATTTTAAAAGAGTGTAAAACTGTTTTCATAGATATAAGTTTCTAATGATTGTGATCAACCATCTGAATAGAGACTAAAGGGCACATGCCTGGTGTAGTAAAAGGGCAGCTGAGCACCGGCCGTCAAGAGACTTAAAATGTGGTAAAATAGCAGCCAGGCACCATTGGTCTGGATAGAGACTAAAGGGCACACGCAAATGTGGTAAAAGGGCAGCCGGGCACCAGCGGTCTGGATAGAGACTAAAGGGCACAAGCCAGGTGTGATAAAAGGGCGGCCAGGCACCAACTGTCTGAATAGAGACCAAAGGGCATACACAAGGTGTGGTAAAAGGGCAGCCGTGCACCAGCGGTCTGGATAGAGACTCGAGGGAATATGCCTAGTGTGGTAAAAAGGCAGGAGGGCACCAGCTGTCTGAACAGAGACTAAAGGGCAAATGCCTGGTGTGGTAAAATGGCAGCCAGGCACCAGCAGTCTTAATAGAGACTTAAAGGGCAAACGCCTTGTGTGGTAAAATGGCAGCCAGGCACCAGCAGTCTTAATAGAGACTTAAAGGGCAAACGCCTGGTGTGGTAAAATGGCAGCCAGGCACCAGCAGTCTTAATAGAGACTTAAAGGGCAAACGCCTGGTGTGGTAAAATGGCAGCCACTTTCTGGCACCAGCCCTCTATATAAAATAAAAAGCAAACAAATTTGTGTTGTTTGTTTTGTTTGTGGGAAAGTGAGGGCTGATGGTGGTGCGGTATTAATAGGGGGTGTGGAATTAGACGCTTTAGGTAAAAAGACAACATTTTAACCAACCAAGATAGGGTAACAATATTAGAAGAAAGACATTCCCTTCAAATCTCTTATTTACAATAAACTGTTCACTTTAAAAAGATTAAAAGAGGGTTGATATAAGAATAGCATTTCAGAGTTATTACTGCATGGATACTATGAAATATGATGTGAAGGGTATAGTTGCTTCAAGGTCATGTTTTGAGTGATTTTGACAGCATTTCCGACATGCATGTCACCTGATTGTATCATAGAGGCAACAATTTGTTTGTTATTACCTGAAGTTGTCCAACATTTATGGTGATTGCGTGAGATCAAGGCGAGGCAGATAACAATGTTGTAAACAATTTCAATTATTTTTGTCATTTTGTATCTGTACATGTTACAAGAACAAGTTTGTAGTAATTAGTGCTGGTATTTGTGTGTGGTATACAACAAAACATTAATAATAATATATTAGACAAAACCCATATTGTGCATTTGCAACTAGCATGGATCCAGACCAGCCTGCGCATCCGGGCAGTCTGATCAGCATCCATGCTGTTTGCTTACAAAACCTATTAGAAGTAGAGAAATTGATAATGAACATTATGGATCCTGATCAGACAGCATGGGTCTGGACAAACGCAATATGTCCAGGTTTTCTCATGGCATTTTATGCCTTGTATCTCTTTTGTAAGCTTTAGCACACTCCTTGTAAAAGATATTCTTTAAAAAAAGGCAATTCCTATAGGAATTAATGAAAAATCTGTTAATGAAAAAATATTAGATAAAAGTGAAAGTGTTTCATCAATTTTGAAAATATGACCTTGAAGGTGAAGGTCACTTGAGGTTAGTGTCATGTTTAAGTGTGTTGAAATGAAATTCAGAAAGGTTAAATTAATGATATAAATTTATAAGCTCCACTGTTTCCTAATTTTTGACATTTAACCTTAGAAGTCATTTCGAGGTCAAGGTCTAATCCTAGTGCTGTTTCCTAGGAGTTAGTTTTCCTCAGCTATGCGTGATTGTAGGAAATATGTTAGTAAAAACAGATTAAATTTACTGAATTTGAAAAATTCAATCTTGAGGTAGTGGTCATATATAGTAAAGGTCATTTTGATTTCAATATGTGATAAAAAGTCCTTGTCTAGGTATGAAGGCTATAGTTAACCCTATGCGCCGGCTACTGGCAATAAATTGATTCTACCCATGTCACCCATTATGCAGACCAAGATCAGCCGGCCAAGATAATCATGATGAACTGTTCACAGTAACTAAGTAAATGGTTGAGTCCATATTGATGATGGACAAGTCCATTAAGATATAGATAAGATTTAGATAGGAAAAAAAAAGTCATTTCACTACCAGTAGACCACACTTGTGCTGTCTGACCAAACTCAATACTGTTTGAGTGAAAATTTTAGCATTTTGGTATTAAAATCCATCTCTTTTATAAATTCAAAGGCTGGCAAGTTCTTTTAAATTATAGAAGAATTGGCTGGTTAAGGGTTAAAGTCATTTAGTTTTGACAGAATTTCATTGAATTCTTGTGTCACACTTTGGTGTCTTAATTATGAAAAAATGGAAAAGGACACGTTATATTTATATTAACGTTGTAAAGGATGGAAAGCTCTTCAGTCACGGAGGAAACATAATGAATGCTGGCATATGATCTGTCTGAAGTGATTACGACTTTATTTTATTTTAACAACTGAAGTGACAAATTCATTTAATAATACCACCGCCATTTCAACAATTATTTAGCATATTTCCCGCTACTTAAAGTGTCGCGAACCACATTTGTTTTGCAACTTCACGGTGGTAAAACCATAAAATCGGACAGTTTATTATCTGACAATAGTTAACATGGCTCCAAATTAACTATATTTGTCACTCTGGTCGGCAAATCCCTGTCACGTCTGACGCTTAAATTGATAATCTTCACACCTCAAAAAATATCTTGATGAATTTTATAAATGACAGATAAGAAATGAAATTGGACATTTGTCATTTACGAAATAAACGATCATTTTTCAAGGGTGCAACTTGTTTAAGAATACCCACACATGGGCTGATATCCTGTTTTTCAAAAAAGAGAGATTAAATAAAAGTGCTTATTGTAAAGATTTAATTGCACAGTCTCGCATAATAGGCGTCAAATTTGCGTACATGATAAGATAGAATAAAAGGGTCGTATTTCATGCAAGGTTATTTTTTCTTAAATGAGCAATTACCAGTCATATGTTTTCAATGATAGATTTAATCAGTTAAATATTGAAAAGTATTAAGGGTCAAGGATTTTAAAATCAACTTGTCAATTTAACATGACATTGCTGTTTTTGACAAATTTGATTTTTTTAACAAGGTCAAAGGGGAGTAACTTTGATAAACTGTGTGGGAGAACTCTTACAATATATTTTTGTCATTAAAATTATGTAGTTATGCTGTTATATATCAAATTCTGTTTAAAGATGATAAAAAATCTTAATATAATAATGATTATCAGACATTGAGGGTTTTATATGGAAATAGAATTTTGCATTACCCTTAAAGTTGGGAAGTCAAGCTGTGTGTTTTCCTTAAATTTGGGAATTACCTTGTGGAGTCATCATCTTGTTCTTACCAGCAGATAGATTAAAATAAGCTCACAAATTTACAGTAATAGCTACCATTATGTAAGGTTCTACCTTCAATTGGAAATTTGACCCATATTGGCTATAAATTAAGCCAGACACCCATTCACCCCCACAACCCCACCCTCTCAACCAGACAGCATTGATGTACTTGCCTCCCTGATTATTATAATATTATATAAAACAGTTGCATATGACTATCATGACATTATATGGGATGATATTTCAGGAAATCAGATGTGAACTTTATAAATCTGGGTGTCAAACTTATTGATAATTGCCTTTTTGACTGAAATAATTATTGAGGAAGACAATGAATTAATTATGTGGCATCAAATTTTATTGAAATATATTTAGAAGTTGTTTTTTTACTTTTTTAATTTCATATGATACATTACAGTTAGTTAAACTGCTGTGCAAGATAAATTTTGTACCTTGTGATAATAATTTGTGTGATAATAATACAAATTTAACTTATATTTTCAGGTTACCAAAGATATATTTTGGCACTCGGACACACAAACAGATTGCTCAGATAACTAGAGAGTTAAAGAAGACTGCCTACCATGATGCTAGGTATATATCGTTTTTTATTCCCCCGGCCAGGGATTTTTTTGGCTTATTTCATAGTCGTTATTGGGTCATATTCCCAATTAAAAATAGTATATTATTTTCTCAATACACAGGGAAAAATTCAAAATAGAAAGTTACAAAATAAAAATAATGAATAAAAATTCTAAAATCTTTGCAAATAAGGGCTTCTTCACTGTAATAGTGCTTAAATCTTTGAAGATGCCATCATAGACAGTAATTGTTTGCATCCATTTAATCACTGCAAAATTTCAGTCATGCATTTTTTCCCAATTTTTAACAAAACACCGCTGAAATTCCCAATTACATGGGTATGGGTTGTGATCCCAAAATCCTGCAAAAAATCTCTGCCTGCTACTGTAATAGAATATTGTCTTTACCTTTAAATCTGAATTAAAGGACTTGCTATGGTTTGAATTTGAAAGTGTCCAGTGGTTGTGTTACTTGTAAACCTACATAATGGTTATACATGTACTAGTCTTTTGGCTGCAGAATGTTTAAGTAATTGTTTACCTACAGAATGGTCATTTAAAGCTGTATCCCTGCAGGTAGGGTATACTTGTTTTATACATGGAGAAAGGATATATTATTTATTTATTTAGAATGGTTATAATTGTACTCATACAGAATGGTTATATTAGTTTTATACATGCAGATTCATTATATGATCTTTTTATATAGAATGTTTATTTACATTCTAATATGTGCAGAATGGTTATATAATTTTATATATACATAATGGTTATATTAGTTTAATATGTGCAGAATGGTTATATAATTTTATATATTCAAAATGGTTATATTAGTTTAATTTGTGCAGAATGGTTATATAATTTTATTCATAAAAAATGGTTACCTATGTTTAATATCTGCAGAATGGTTATATAATGTATTTATATAGAAAGATTATCTAATTTTTAATATGTGCAGGTTGGTTGTATAATTTTATTGATACAGAATGATTATTTTATTTTAATATTTGTAGAATGGTTATATAATTTTATGCATAAAGAATGGTTATATAAATTTTATATTTTTAGAATGGTTCAGGATGGTTATATAATTTAATTGATACAGAATGATTATTTTAATATTTGTAGAATGGTTATATAATTGTATGTCTAAAGAATGGTTATATAAGTTTTATACTTTAGAATGGTTGTATAAGTTTTATATTTTCAGAATGGTTATATTAGCCAGTAGAGAGTATACATGTATACATCCTGAGGTGACCATACAAAAGAACAAGAGTGAGGGATGTAGAGAAAGGCTTGATATTCATGTAAGATTATATGACTTATTTTGCATCTATTTGATCAAAATAACACTGTTTTTACTTAATATTTGCATATTTGATAATATTAGATAAATACATTGAAAAAGATATTACAGGTAAATCATATATAAATGTACTCGTTGAATGGTTTTCTTCAAACTTGGCTCAAATTTTCATCTCAGCAAGGTGGTTTCAGAACCCTTATCTCTGCAATGCATGCTCAAGGTCAAGGTCACTCTGAAGGTCAATTTTGCATCTTCTCTGTAAATCCTAAAGCCCTTGATGGATATTTTTTCATACTTTGCTTAAATGTTCACCTCAAAAAGGTGATGTGCAGAATCCATGCTTTAGCTGTGCTAGCTCAAAGTCAAGGTCATGCTTGAAGGTCAAATGTCAGACAATATTTATGTCTGCTCTATAAATCTTATACCCCTAGAATGATATTTCTTCCAACTACGTCACTTTCAAAAATAATGATATATGGGCCTGCATAAAAATCTGGTGTCATAAAGATGATGAGGCTTCCCAACTATTCATCGCTCTTGTGGTAGCTCTAATTGTAATATGTAATCTGACAGCACTAAAATCTATATGTGATATAGATACTATGAATTCACTTAATTTTGTGGGCATGAAATTTCATGGTTTTGTCATGCTGAAATTTTCGTGGGTTGTTAAATTTGTGTCTATTTTCCATTTGGTAAATGTAAAAAATGTGATGCAAAATAATCTTAAAGCAGATGAATTGAAATTTCATTGGATCTTAGATTCTTGGATGGACCTATAAAAAAACAACACAAAAATCAGTAAACCACAAATAATAATGATTTTGCAGTTGTAGAATTATAAGTTAAAGTATTATATTTTGAATTATTTCTGCATTTTATCATGTTTCATGTGTTGTATTGTACACATTTACAGGGTCAAGGTTGTAAGTTCAATGACAAGTCAAAGAGAGTGTTTCTATCACAGAGACAGTTACAGGACGAACTACCTACAGCCTGGGATCTCGAGGACTTGGTGTCATCTTGTACCAAAAAGAAGGTAGGTGCTAGAATATGTTATTTCTTTGGCCAAAATATGCATAGTCTTTTTCTACTACATCTTTTCACTTTCAACACTAAATTATGATGGCAAGTAGAAGATTTTATAGCAGTTATACACATGTATATGCATTCTTTGTCAAATGTGTTTGAGGTCATGGTAAAATGTGGCAAATGATATTACCTAGAAAAATGATTTTATGTAGGCTGATATGGAGAAATTACAACTGTTCACTGTCAATGAGCCAATTTTAAAAAAAACTTATCAGACTTCCTCTTATGAAAAAAAGAAAGTTAAGGCTTTGCTAATAAAGTGTACCTAACCCCAGTAAATGGTGTCACCATTGTAATATTTATACAATCAAATCTGTCTTAAATGTAAATTGGTACTGGAAAATATTTTCTCTGTGTTTTGCACCAAAGTTAATTAAATAGTTTCCACATTAAATTTTCTAGTTATATTGATATTCATTGTATACATATTATATGTTTTCAGGCATGTCCATATTTTGTGACGAGGAATCTCAAAGAAGGCGCTGATATTATATTTTGTCCTTACAACTACCTCATTGATCCACTTGTTAGGAAAAGTGTAAGTTTATTACATTCAACTCTGAAATACAAGGGATTGAGGGGAGGAGGAGGGAAGGGAGGGGGCTAAGTGACCAGGTGGTTAAGGTCTCTGACTTCTTTATCTCTTGATCCTCTCTGTTGTGAACTCGAAATCTGCCAGAAATGTTAAATATGCCTTATGAGGGAACTGTTAAGCAAAATAAAAAAATCCATTTATGTATATGTACATTATCATCTAATAAAAAAGTGAATGCTTTGATAGGTTTGTAAAAATTTCTAATTTACTTTTTGGTTACCATGCCAGAGCTTTTTTCACAAGTAGGAGAAGGAACCCTAACAAGACATTTTTGCAAAATAAAACAAAAAACCTGATGCAAGGTATTGAATTTTAGATGAAAACTGCATGATTTTTTAAAGAATTTTCATAAGGGGAAGCATCCCTTTAACAGCCCTTTATATAGAAGGGAAAAAAGCCATGCATGCTAAAATTTCCCAGTGTAAAAGGCATGGGTTGTTGCTGTCATGGAGGGTTGTTGCTGTCAGTGGCTTACACCTGTGTAAATGTTAAGTGTTTGTTTTGTAGATGGATATAACATTGAAGGATCAGATAGTGATATTAGACGAGGCTCATAATATAGAGGATTGTGCGAGGGACGCTGCTAGCGGTAGTGTAACCACTGACCAGATCACACAGTCTATATTAAATCTACAACAACTTAGTGAGTTATTCTTGTAATGTAATTAATGTCATGTATACATATATTGCAAAGGGTATCCATGACCAAGTGGTTAAGGTTGTTGCTGCTGTAGGTTCAAATCCCTCTTAAGACTGGATTTTTGTCTGACAAAGCTATCCAGCTAGCTTGCGGATTATCAGTGGTTCTACTCAGGTGCCTGTTTGTGTCCGAAATTATGCAAGTAGGAACGCCTGAGAGCTTCCTCCGCCACTAAAGCTGGAAAGTCGCCATATGACCTTTACTGTGTTTGTGTGACGTAAAACAGATCAAAATAAAAAAAGATATACTGCTCAGGCTTGCATTTTAAATTTTGCATAACTTAATTTTAAAGATGTAAAATTAATTTTCTAAAAATTTAGTTATTGTAGTTTTTAACAACTATAAAATGTATTTACTTTATTTTGACTACAGACCTGTTATTGTAACCTTACAGGATAACAATATAAAAGTGGTAAGTTCAGCAGCACATAGTCAGACTGCACAAATTAGTGACTACAATATAAGTGTGATAGGTCTGTTGTTGTTGTTGTAGTAGATATTAGAGATGGTGATAAAGTTGTTGGTAGTCACATAAAGTCTAGAGCAGGTTTTTTCTGGCACTAGGTAGAAGTACTTATACTTCTCACTTGCTGGAGAATAAAGTACAGACCACACAATTGCAAATTCCAACATGTGTAACATACAAATATTTGATATATGTTTAGTATTTATAGATATATCTATTTTTAAAGAAGCTCCACCAAGGTCCAAAAACCTAAAATAGTAAAATTTGAAAAATCTTGCACAAACCAAATGGGGTACTTCAAACGAAACAAATACGAAAATGATAATAAAGATATAATATGTATGCTGAGAATTAAATTTTGCCTAATAAAAATGGTTATTTTGGAAAAATGGAGTGAGTGAATGATCTGAAATTTTGAAAGTTATTTGGTAAAGACTCGCATTAAATGGTACATTAAAAGCATGAAAAAATAGTTCCAGTCTTGTCATGTCAACACAAAAACCAGTGGAGTCCCTTTAAAGCTGTCAAAACATGAAGTAAGTAAAAAAATAAGTTATACAATTTTCCAAATACATGTTTTTTGAAATGATTTATACTTTAATACAGTGTTATATATCTTTATAGTGGAGCACAACATCAAGTATGTGGAGCATCTTAAACTAAGGAACATGGTAAGTTTACTGTACTGATAATCATATATATATATCTTTCATTTAAACCATAACCTACCTGATTCTATATAATGAATTTGCCCAATGTTTGTATTTGGAACAGTCCATTTTGAGTATAAGGGATTCCAATAATGAAATGTAAAAATAAGCTTCTGACAGTATTCACGATTTCGAAAACCTAGCTAAACGCCGTTTTTTCAGGTACTTTCTGTACACAGCTCAGGGGAATTCACCTAATGGATTGTAATAACAAACTATGTTTTTGGCCTTTTTTGAATTAAAGTGAAATAAAACAGTTATTTCTGTGTATTAAGGAAATAAATATCATTGAATATGTATTTCCATACATAAAAATAAAGTAATTACGCAGGTTTACGCAAATGACTTTATTACTGGAAGATGCCACCACGACTGTTTTAATTTAATGGATTTTCATTATAAACAATTTATTTTTTGAAAAATTTGCAATAGATATTAAAGGAACATTGATAATTTCCAACACATCAAGTTTTTTAACCTTAAACTGTAAAATAATGATAAAAAAACAGAAATATCATGTTAGAGTATTATGTACTTCATTATGTTTAATTCCCCAGAGCTAAATCCGTAACTTACAGGAAAACAGGGTTAAGCTAGGTTTTCGAAAAGGTCAATAGAGCCTGGTCAGACTGCACAAAGGTTACAAAGTCTAATCACTTGGTTCTAGCAGGTTAAGAGTTTGTTTACATACAAGGTATAAGAAACTTATTTTTATGTTTGTATACATATATGTGTAGTATGTTGGTATAGATGTATGTGTAATATGTTGGTATACATGTATGTGTAATATGTTGGTATACATGTATGTGTAATATGTTAGTATACATGTATGTGTAATATGTTGGTATACATGTATGTGTAATATGTTGGTATACATGTATGTGTAATATGTTTGTATACATGTATGTGTAATATGTTGGTTTACATGTATGTGTAATATATTGGTATACAGATATGTGCAGTGTGTTAGTATACAGATATGTGCAAAATGATGGTATACATATATGTGTAATATGTTGATATACATGTATGTGTAAAGAACATCAGCTGTCTATTGCCGAATGGTTATGATTATAAAAGAAACCACTTGCTCCTGACAACTGAGGGTTTGAATCTTTTGAGGGACTTGGGATCCAGCTAGCTTTTGGAACTTCTTTGGTCTTTCTCCACCAATAAAGCTTGAAAGTCTCCATATATTGTAAGTTGTCATCTGACATTTACAGAATGGATATTACTTAAAATCTGCCTACCCCTTCCACTCCCACCCCCACCCCCCCCCCCCCCAAAAAAAAAAAAAAAAAAAAAAAAGAAAAGAAAGAAAAAAAGTTTTCAGTAACAAAGTTACATTATATGTTATTTTGGTTTTGAAGTGATATATGTGGATATATTACCTGTCAAGATTTTATATCACCCGAGCCATTAGGCGAGGGTGATATTTTATCTTGGAAGGTAATATATCCACATATATCACTCCAAAACCAAAATAATAATTTTATTACCCTTCCCCTGCCGAGTTAAGACGATTTTAAAATGAATCATGAAACGTCGAAATAAGATTCCCTTTAGGGTACCCCTTCATCACTTCATGACGTCACATAAATACATGACGTATTTTCTTTCGAACCTAACGATTGTAAACAAAAGAAAAGGAGTAGTCTGTTGAACTCACTTTTTTGGTATTAATATCAAGCTTTCACAAGGACATATTTGTTTTCAATACTGATGAGAATATGTATGATTACTCTATTTTGGTTAATATTGATCATTTGACAGTTAAAAAGTGCTTGTAAATCGGAATTTACATCGTGTATAATAAAACTGTACGCACATCGCCACAGCGCATGATGTTTAGAACTAGGGGTACCCAACGGGAAAATTAGGTGTGTATATTACCCGTCTGGCTCGGTAATATCAATTTCTTTCGGTTGATCAATATCCAATCAAAAAAGCGGAAAAAATCTGGAAGGGTAATAAATTTATATATTATGCTGTTATTTTGTTAGTTGGAGAGCTTGTTAAACTTCATAGAGGGAAACAACTCCAATTTGGATCAGTCGGATTACGATACCTCGTACAAAGTTTGGTCAGGATTTGACATTGTTGTACGGTTAAAGGGGATAGGTCTTGGACCAGACAGTTTCCAGGAATATCAGGTAGGATTTTAATTAAAAGTGTCGCTATGGTTAATAAAAAGAAGATAAATAATTTATGATCAATAATATTATCTCTTGTTTCCATTATATGAGGTAAAAGTTAAGTGGCCGAGTGATTAATGCATCAGACAAGTAATCTAAGGATTGCTAACTGAGTGGTTTCAATTATTATACAGTGTGGAAATACTAAATGTTAACAAATTTGATGTTATATGAAAATTAGTTTTGTTATAAGAACAAACCAAGCTTGAGATCCTCGAAAGGATTTACTATTGATTAAAAATGTGCCGAATCCAACACAGGTTTTATAAGAGGGTTTCTTCTTTATTTTAAGGGATTTCTTAAAACATAATGTTGATTGTGTTAAAATGGTTTTATTTTACAGAGATGTTTTGAGCAAGCTGTAGCCCAGAATGATGATGAGGCTATGGCTGTTAGAGACAGGAGAAACAAGGAGGTAAAGATGAGCAGTAATACACAGAAAATACTGGAACAACTCTTCCAGATCCTAGATTATATGTACAGAGATGATCTCAAATTTGTCGAAGATTACAGGTATGTATATACATGACTTAACCCTAGTTATTTGTTATATAATCATTTTATGTACACAGACGATCTCAAATTTGTTGAGGATTACACACTACATATACAAAAGACTTAACTCAGGTTATATAATCATTATATGGGTGATCTCAAATTTTGTTGAAGATTACAGGTATGTATTCTGTTTATATTATCATTCTATGTACACAGTTGATCTCAAATTAGTCCTGAATTACAAGTATGTGTATACAAGACTTAATTGAGATTATATAATTATTATATGTTCATGGGTCATCTCAAATTGATGAGGATAACAGGTACCTATGCACAAAGTTTTACTTTATTGTTCCATTCAGACATATTTGTTTTTAGCTCAACTATTCGAAGAATATGAGAGCTATTGTAGTCGCCCCAGCGTCGGCGTCCGTGTCGGCGTCTGCGTTGGTTAAAGTTTTTTGTAAAGTCGAATATCTCAATTATTACTTGAGATATTCAATTGAAACTTACAATACTTATTTATAGTAACAAGGTACATCAGATTGACAAGTTGGATAACTCTGCCTACAATATTGACAGAATTATGCCCCTTTTTAACTTAGAAATTTTGGTTAAAGTTTTTTGTAAAGTGAAATATCTCAATTATTGCTTGAGATATTCAATTGAAACTTACAATTCTTATTTATAGTAACAAGGTACATCAGATTGACAAGTTGGATAACTCTGCCTACAATATTGACAGAATAATGCCCCTTTTTAACTTAGAAATTTTTGTTAAAGTATTTTGTAAAGTGAAATATCTCAATTATTGCTTGAGATATTCAATTGAAACTTACAATTCTTATTTATAGTAACAATGTACATCAGATTGACACGTTGGATAACCTTGCCTACCATATTGACAGAATTATGCCCCTTTGGAACTTAAAAATTTTGGTTAAATTTTTTTGTAAAGTCAAATATCTCAATTATTGCTTGAGATATTCAATTGAAATTTAAAACACTTATTTAAGGTAACAATGTACATCAGTTTGCAAAATTGCATAACTGTCTGCAATATTTGCAGAATTATTTGCCCCTTTGAAACTTACAAATTTTGGTTAAAGGTTAACGGTCTTCAAAGATATTTACTTGAAACTTTACAAATGCACTTAGGGTCATAATTGGAGGGTCGTAATTGTATGTCACTGACCAAGTTCCATAACTCTATCTTGCATTAAGTCTGATTCATATCCCCTTTTCTACTTAGTTTCTTGGTTAATGTTTACATGCAAGTTTTACATATCTCAATAACTATTAAAGATATTTATTTAAAACTTCACATATGCATTTAGGGTCATAATTGTAGGTCACTGACAAAGATCCATAATTCTATCTTGCATTTAGGCTGATTTTTCTCCCCTTTTTCAACTTAGAAATTCATGGTACAGTTTTGCTTGTAAGCTGTTGTCTCAATAACTACTGAAGGGTTTGTGCCTGTTTTGGGACAATTTTATGCATTCATAATAATAAAGCAGTGATTTACTTGATAAAACATCTTAATAACAAACCTTTGTACCTTTTCTGTCAAATTTATGTATTCATAGGTAATTATAGTCTGTCCCATCAAATTTGAACATTCCATTTTTTATTTAACATAATAGTAAAATCATGTAAATTAATGTCATGTTAACCCTGACGTCAATATCTCTAGGCATGTTTTTCATTTTTTTCATAAAGTCATTAATATGGTCGAAATGTTAAAATTATATTTTTCCCCGTTGACTTACGTTGTAACCTGACGTGACGTCCATTTCAAAATGGCGGTGCCCATATAGACGTCATTTAGGGTTCGTCTCACAATTAGCGTGAAATGTACTCGGTAATTATACAAAAAATGATTATTCTAAATTACTAGCTCGCAATAGCTAAATGTTCTCATTAAAATGAAAAATGAAAACAAAGTTGGTGTCAAAAAAGACAATTTTACTAGCAAACCATTATTTAAAATAATCAAAATCATTTGAAGTGAAAATATCAATAACTGCTTTATTAATTCTAACACACAAATATTTCTATAATTAGCATGATATACTGTCGTATTTTATATTCTTTTTAAGAGAAAAAGAACAATGAAGTGATTTGATTAGATAGCTTTTCAATCAAGCGCGTATCTTGAATACCGCAACGCGTCGAATGGGAGCGGGAACACTAGCTAGAAGACTAAAATGGTTATTCGGTAATTAATGTTTAATTTACATAATTCTGTAGTTGTCTGAATTATGTCCATTAATATGTGTCACGTCTATTCAAAAATAATTAGAATTGACCAGGTACGATGAGATACAAAAATATGTTACCCTTCTTATTTCGGGTGCGATGTTTGTGTGCTAAACCTTTCCTTCACAAGAAATCGCCAACAAATAATACATTATCATGCAAATCTGACAAGAAATATATAGAAAAGAGAACTGATTCACTATACGTTCAGCATTGGTTTGCTTGTTACCACAGTGTCTACTTTAACTTACCCCCTCGCTAACGAGAGAACAAAGACTCGCGTCCGAGGAAATTGTAAATTTACATGTATAAGAATATAATATCACGCTTTCTAGTTTGAGCAATCAAACGTAGGCCTATACACTTTAAGCTCGTAAATACAGATTTATCTTTCCGTCTCACAATTTAACAAAATGTTCAGAAATACCGGCAGTGATTTGATAACGTGTGTTATTATTAAAAATAAGTTTATATTGGAGTGTTCAATAAGCGACAATAAGTGCGGTTTTTATTGCAGACTCAAAGTGTTACATATAATTATTATGTTAATATGAAGGGGAGATCGAGTCAAAGAGAACCTCAATGATTTTAACCTTCCTAAAATTTGAAAAGATTCAGTGAAAAAACAATTGATCTAGCATATTTTTCGTGGCAGAAAAAAAAACGCGTATTGTATATTTTGTAACTTAAAGAGTAGGATTAACAGAGGTCTTTAATAATAAGGGATAATATGTAGGGAAATCATTTCTGAGAAATATATAAAATAGTTTAAAAACATAAAATTAGAAACGAATGTTATATGTAATTAATGGAAGAAGTATTGTACTGTTATAGATTCATGTCATTAAGTGAGTTTAAAAATATTTAAATGTTATCGAAAGTTTTATTATTAATATAAGAATTGAAGGTGTAATTTTTACAGTTAAGTTGCAAAATTTGGGTCTACAAAAATTATTTAAAATGCAATCAAGGCATATTTATCTCAACGCTTGAAATTATTTGTTTGAGGTTACATTGGTCTAACCGCCCTCTGTCAATGCCGCAACTGGAAGCGCGAGGCATTTTTGTTACGTCATATATTTCGTAAATTGTTGTTGACGTAATAAAGTTTTTTCGTCAGGAATCCATTTTCAAGAGTTAAACATTGTGATGTTAACAACTAAAATTGATGGGCCGTTCTTGAATTATGGATTTGGAACATGCTGAATTATGATGTGTTTCATTTACATATTTCATTTGCTAACCCAGATAACTCCACAAATTTAACAATGTTTTAATAAAGAGACGGATTGTTAACAGTTTAAAAAATCTGGATCATCATAAGTGTAGGAGTCATGTCATTCAGGAGTTTTGAAGCTACGGAACTGGATAGAAACTTGCAATGAAGGAATCTTCAGAATGCGAATTTGTGGTGACGTTCATATAAAGATGTATTTCGAAATTCATAGGGATTCTATTCAGCTTAAAAGTATAAAGATAAGTGCAATTTCTTTTCCTACTCCGTGTGACTCGGTGTTTTTGTGTTGCTAATTGTAATTTTTTTTTAAAGTTTTCCATCATGCATTGCAACTAAACTGTTACATCTTGTAGATCCAGCTTTGTAAAATAATCATGAAACGACCCCGAGAACCTCATGTATATTTTAGAAACATAACACGTGCTTTCTCCCGTTCATCTTCAAATGAAGAGTACTTAGGCAATGACTAAGGAAAATAAACAACAGAGATTTGCCATAGAGAAATCAAAATTTGCTTTCACAAGAAAAGTAGACACTTTAGAGAAAAATCCTGAAAAATCTCGAGGGTGACTTTTTTTTAGTTTACCAAAATAGTTTAATTTTTATTTAACCTCGTTTTGTTTATTCACACGAGGCAAAAGTTCATTTCCATTTTTAATGGGACAGACTATAGTATTATTATACTCAATAAAAAACCCTTGTAACATTACCTTCCGAATAGTCAAGCCAATTCTGTATAATTAGACTCTCTCTAAGGCCTAAAACATGAATTTATAAAAAAAAATTAGCCCTTTTGTGAACTTAAAAAATTTAACAATATCAAGGCTCTTTTACTATCAAGCACTTAGAATAGTCGAGCATGCTGTCCTACAGACAGCTCTTGTTTAAGTTGCAAGAATATATGTGATCACCCCTGATTCTGAAAAAATGTGGGATTAATAGTTGGTCACTTGCAGTGAAATTTGAAATTACTGGTTAGATATTCAAGAAAACTTGTTTATGTCTATGAAACAGTCTATAACAGGAAGGATATGAGAAAAAATGTGTTTAAATCATCTGAAAAATCAGACAATCAATCAAAATCAATGAATTCATGTGATCATTCAAGTCTCAGATTCAATGCTCATGTATAGATTTCTTTATCAAGAATTAACATTAGACAGTGAACAAGTTTAGAGAAAATTATGGTTGCAATATAGACATGAATATTTGGTTATCTAGACAAATTTTAGCCCATGTTATACATGTAACATGAAAAAAAAAAGTTTTCTTTTTAGTTATGTTTTCAAATATGTAATCAGTTATGCACAATTTAAAAGGTATCACTTAGACAAAGATGGAAAAAAATGTTAGAATACAATATAGCATATATAGTGGTGATGAAACGTCACTGCAGTGGGCGTTACCCTGTATGATTGGAAATTTCGGGTTTGTAAGTACACTAGTTGGGACTACGTCCCAACTAAAAACAATGTATTGTATATAAATTGAGTTGATTATGTTTAAAGTTTGTTATATATATGTTTTCGTAATGATATATTTCAGGACTATTATAAGTAACTGCAGTATGGTTTCAAGACAGGGACACAGTAAGTTCTACACTCTTGTTGAAGCTGTTTTACGGAAGATGTCTTGATATCGGAATTCAGCCATGACAAATGAATTGAATTCATTAACAATGATTTAACAACAAGGACTTAGTAGATTGTCTCAGGTCACTGTGAATGTTTATACCAGACTGCTTAATGAATGATAGAATAATTATATTAATATCAACATGTACTTATTTAAGCATGTTTTTTAGCGGTCACTGTCACAAGTAGAAGGGTGAGCTTTTGTGATCGTTTTCGTCGTCGTCCCGCCGTCCATTCGTCCGTGCTCCGTAACTGTAAACTTTTACTTTAAATGACAGTCCCTCCATAAACCACATAATGCCAATTTTTTGTTCATCCAAACTTCACAGGAATGTTCCTTTGGGTGGTCACCTTTAAAAATTGTTCAAAAATTTAATTCCATGCAGAACTCTGGTTGCCATGGCAACCGAAAGAAAAAAACTTTAAATATCTTCTTTTAAAAAACCATAAGAGCTAGAGCTTAGATATTTGGCATGAAACATCTTCTAGTGAGTGTCTACCAAGTTTGTTCAAATAAAAGCCCTGGGGTCAAAATTGGCCCGCCCCGGGGGGGTCATTGATTTTCCCTATATGCATATAGTAAAAACTTAAAAAACCTTCTTTTAAAGAACCCAAAGAGCTAGAGCTAAGATATTTAGCATGAAATATGTTCTGGGTGTCTACCAAGTTTGTTCAAATAAAAGCCCTGGGGTCAAAATTGGCCCCGCCCCGGGGGGTCATTGATTTTCCCTATATGCATATAGTAAAAACTTAAAAAATCTTCTTTTAAAGAACTCAAAGAGCTATGGCTAAGATATTGAGCATCAAACATGTTCTAATAGGTGTCTACCAAGTTTGTTCAAATAAAAGCCCTGGGGTCAAAATTGGCCCCGCCCCAGGGGGTCATTGATTTTCCCTATATGCATATAGTAAAAACTTAAAAAATCTTCTTTTAAAGAACCAAAAGAGTTAGAGCTAAGATATTTAGCATGAAACATGTTCTAATAAGTGTCTACCAAGTTTGTTCAAATAAAAGCCCTGGGGTCAAAATTGGCCCGGCCCCGGGGGTCATTGATTTTCCCTATATGCATATAGTAAAAACTTAAAAAATCTTCTTTTAAAGAACTCAAAGAGCTATGGCTAAGATATTAAGCATCAAAAATGTTCTAATAGGTGTCTACCAAGTTTGTTCAAATAAAAGCCCTAGGGTCAAAATTGGCACCGCCCCGGGGGTCATTGATTTTCCTTATATGTGTATAGCAAAAACTTCAAAAATCTTCTTTGAAAAAACCCAAATAGCTAGAGTTAAGATATTAAGCATGAAACATCTTTTAGTGAGTGTCTACAAAGTTTGTTCAAATAAAAGACCTGGGATCAAAATTGGCCCCGCCCCGGGGGTCTTTGATTTTCTTTATATGTGTATAGCAAAAACTTAAAATCTTCTTTGAAAAAACCCAAATAGCTAGAGTTTAGATATTAAGCATGAAACATCTTCTAGTAAGTGTCTACAAAGTTTGTTCAAATAAAATCCCTGGCCCGGCCCCAGGGGTGTCATTGTTTTTAACTATATGTGTATAGTAAAAACTTTAAAAAAATCTTCTTTTAAAAAGCCCAATGAGCTAGAGCTTAGATGTTTAGCATGAAACATCTTCTTATGGGTGTCTACCAAGTTTTTGCAAATAAAAGCCTTTTGGTTAAATTGGCCCTGCAAAGTTGGGGGGGGGGGGGGGTGGGGGGGGCCTATATACAGGTGAGCGACCTCAGGGCCATCATGGCCCTCTTGTTGTTTAATGACTGAAAATTTCAAGCTGAATGTATATCAGTTTTTTTCCGTGAGTTTCTAATTTTCGGCCTATAATTGCGTGCAATGAATATCGCCAAATATAGATTCACTGTATATTCCTTCAATTCAATAAGGGGATTTGGCGAGCTCTGGAATTTATTTTCTGCTTTAGATTGCTACCCAGTTTAGTCGTATATATATTTTATATTGTGATCATAAAATATTAATTTATGAAATTCATGGTTGTTAAGTTAATGTTGTGTTCTTTTAAATGTTATTGTTTTAAGTACATAAAAAAACTTAAGTGACACAGTAAGCAAACAGGTATTTTTGTTTAGACTTATTTAACCAATTGTCCTTTATAATACATGTATTATAATTCACACCTTGCAAATATATATATAAACATATGCAGTTTCCCAAGTAAACTATACAAATGCTATTTGTCTGATTTCTATTGGGGGAAAGAAAAGCTTAAAGCCAGTTGATTTCATGTTTACAATAATGTGACACTAGACAATATGTGTGAAATACTGAATGCATATACTTATAAGCGATACATCAGTAGGAAAATTGAAAACAAAGTTTTACCTGTGAAAACAATAAATCTCTGACAAAAAGAGTGGTCTCTCTTTGACCAACTTAGTGCGTTTGCGACCAGGGTGGATCCAGACCAGCCTGCACATCCGCGCAGTCTGATCAGGATCCATGCTGTTTGCTATCAGTTTCTCTACTTGTAATAGGGTTTGTAAGCGAACAGCATGGATCCTGATCAGACAGCACGGATGCGCAGGCTGGTCTGAATCTATGCTGGTCGCACACGCATTATGTTGGTTTTAACATGGCACAGCTCAATTATTTTCTAAATGTTTCTGTTTTTCTGTATTTCAGGGTGACAGATGGCTTGGAAAAAATAGGAGAGGTTAGATGACAAAGTCTTTCTTTCATTTCTTGTAGCTATTCTTACGTTATTTTTTTTTTCTCATAGAAAGTTTAGAAATATCATCAAACAAAGACTACTACCACAAAAGATCAAATATAATGTACAAAAAAAAATCTCAAGTAACATTAAGGTTTCTATGGAGCACAGTAAAGTCCAACTGTAGTCCAAATTGCTCTAAAATTCATGATTTAAAAATATGAGTAGACTGTTCCAAACTTTCAAGAGCATTCCAAGAAAACTTTACAAAGGCTATGTCTGAATTTTTCTTTTGAAAAACTTAAACAAACAAACAAAAAGCTGAAAGCCAGTTAATTTCATCAAAACTTAAGTTTTAAAGGATGTTTAATTATGGAGTTTAAGTTTTAAAGGATGTTTAATTATGGAGTTTAAATCAGCCGCGTCACGACAAAACCAACATAGTGCGTTTGCGACCAGCAGTCTGATCAGGATCCATGCTGTTCGCTTATAAACCCTTTAACAAGTAGAGAAACTGATAGCGAACAGCATGGATCCTGATCAGACTGCGCAGATGCGCAGGCTGATCTGGATCCATGCTAGTCGCAAACCCATTATGTTGGTTTTGTCATGACACGGCTCAAATTGTTTCAGGTGGATCAAGGATAGTTGTGTTCACATTGAACTTCTGGTGTATGAACCCTGCTGTGGTGAGTATAATAATTTGCTGCTGTTAAAATAAGGAACATAATGACATCAAAAATATACATACTGTCAATGATATTTGTAACGGTTGTTCATGTTAACGTTAATCTAAAGACAGCATGAAAATAATGAGCAACATTTACATGTTTTAAAGGTATAGAGCTATTTCTAATGAAATATATTAGGGCAGAGTTGTTAAAGTCGTTGAAATCAAACCACTTGCTTCTTACTGCTGTTGGTTTGAATCCCAACAGGGACTTTTGATTCTTTCATGTGAGGAAGCTATACAGCTAGCTTAAGGAACACCGGTGGTTCTACTCAGGTGCCTGTCCGTACCTGAAATAATGCATGGAAGGGCACCTGAGGTCTTCCTCCACCAGTAAAGCTGGAACGTCACCATATGACCAATACTGCGTGGGTGTGACACTAACAAATACTTGTATGAGTTTTATTATTAGAAGAGATATAGCAATTTATCCTTTGTTGTTGCCTAATTTTTAGTTTGACTATTTGAAGAATGTAGTACTCACCCAGGTGTCGGCGCCACATTGGTTTAATTTTTGCATGCAAGTTGGTATCTCCAAAACAACAAAAGGGAATGAGGTTAAACTTCCCACACTCATTTAAGAGTATAATAGAGGGTCACTATTCAAGGCCCTTAACTCTAACAAAGATTTTAACATAATTATCACCCTTTTTGAACTTTGAAAATTATCCAGGCTCTCTTTTTACTATCAAGAACTGAGAATAGTCAAACACACTGTCCTACTGGATAGCTTTTGTTTAATTATAAGACTACAAATACATTTCTGAGAATAATGAAAAGACTGTAAGATTATTTATTTTTGTATCTCACAGGCATTTTCAGACTTCAGTAGCTGTAGAAATGTTGTGTTAAGCAGTGGTACCCTGTCACCCATGTCTTCTTTTGCCTCGGAACTTGGTACCCCGTTCCCTATACAGCTAGAAGCTAACCATATTATAGAGGATAAACAGGTTTGTGGTGGCTCAATTTGTATAATACTTTGTCATCTGATTTTGGATTGAATACCTTAAAAATCCAATAATATGCTGTGACTTATTTCACATTTTGGTATGATATTAGTAGCTTTTTATCCTATGACAGCTTATTTTCGAGGTTGGCATGTTTTAGAAGAAAATGCTGGCTTAGCCAAGTAACAGGCCTATTATTGAGACATGCTTTTTATCAAATTTTCTAGGTATACCTAGGCCTTTTGTAAGGCATGTTTTATTGTCATTTTGTCATACAAGGCAAACCTGTCTTGCATTATATTTAAAACTTACCCCTTTAACCCATTACTTCATGAGCATTTTGTGAAAAGTGGCTGTTTTCATTGAAAAGCCTCCTGTTACTGTTTCAAATTGCTATGAAACAATAAAAAAGGCTTCAATACTGTTCAAACTTGTCACAAATGTTGGCTGGACCATAGGCTTTGTTACTGCGTACTCAATCTTAAATTTCCTGTTACCATGGCACCGAGGGGACATCACAAAATTGCCAAAAAATCACTATTTTGTGTTGATTTTTCAATCAAAAACTTATTTCAAAGTGCTGCAACTTCTCAATGGATTTGGATAAAGTCAAAGGCTTTTCAGCATTGTTTACCTGAGGCCATTTTAAGCCTCTGGCACATTTTTTAGCACCATTTCTCAAACAAAAACAAGTGTTTGTGGTCTTAATTCGGCATTTTTTCACTATTTGAGGCTTAAAAGGGGGGGGGGGGGTGAAAAGAATGAAAAGACATCTGTATGAAGTTATGGGTTAAAGATGAAATAAAAACTCTGTGTTGTGGTACATCATACGTGGTAGTTTTTAAACATTTTGTTATATTGTAGGTATTTGTTGGAGCTGTAGGAGTTGGACCTTCTGGTAACCAGCTACAAGCTGTATACAGAAACATGGAAACATTTGCCTTTCAAGATGAACTGGGAAATTTAATTCATCAAGTTTGCACTGTATGTATGATAAGTTCTTTTGCAAAAATAACCCAAAATTAATAAATAGATAAAGAATTTAACCTTTCTTCTTTATGTATTGATCTTCACTCCACGGGAGATGCTTTGGTAGTTTAGCGCGGAGGAAGGTAGTCTAATGATGGTTAGGAAACTACCCGCCTATATGACCGAAATACTGTTGGAAAAAGGCGTAAAATCAAACAAACAAACAAACAAATCTTCACTCCAAATTCGTGAACAGTTCTGTACCTTGAAATTTACACTTATTCTCAAAAGTTGACATTAAATTAAATGTAATGTTATTTAGACCTGTGTAATATTCTTAATCTTCAAAACTGAACTATGTGTCATTATGTATGTTTATTATTTCATAGAAAGTTCCACATGGCGTCCTATGTTTCCTGCCATCCTACAGAGCACTGGATAAATTTATAGATAGGTGGAAGGTAAATAGTTTCATTAATTTCTTTTCAGTTTTCCTTTTTATACCAAACACAGGTGTGTGAATAATTGTTATCCCTCGCCAATGAAATTGGGAATGGGATATTGATTTGGCATTGTCCGTTTGTCCTTTCGTCTGTCTGTCCGAATTTTGTTTCCGCGCTAGTTCTCTGCTACTACTGGCTGGAATTTAATGAAACTTTCTGGGAATCATCAATATCAAGAGGAGAGGCGCATATCATCAGCTTGTTCCACTCAGACCTTTTAACTCAGAGTTATGGCCCTTGATTAGTTATGCATTATGCATATAGAGCAAAAATTGTTTCCGCGCTACTTCTCTGCAACTTCTGGCTGGAATTCAAGGAAACTGTATGGGAACCTTCAATACCAAAAGGAGATGGGCATATTGTTGCCTTGTTCTGGTCAGACCCTTCATTACAGAGTTATGGTTCTTGATTAGTTATGCAGTATGCATATAGAGCAATTATTCTTTCCATGCTACTTCTCTGCAACTTACTGTGTCGTTGTGATGTAAAACCCAAACAAATAAATGAATAAATACATCTCTGCAACTTCTGGCTGGAATTCAAGGAAACTTGTGGTCCTTGATAAGTTATGCAGTATGCACATAGAGCAATAATCATTTCCATGCTACTTCTATGCAGCTACTGGCTGGAATTCAACGAAAAATTTATGGGAACCTTCAATACCAAGAGGAGATGTGCATATCGTTGCCTTGTTCCAGTCAGACACTTTAACTCAGAGTTAAGGCCCTTGATTAATTATGCAGTATGCAAGGAAACTTTATGGGAACCTTCAGTAGCAAAAGGAGATGGGCATATTGTTGCCTTGTTCCGGTCAGACTCTCCATTACAGAGTTATGGCCCTTGATTAGTTATGCAGTATGCATATATAGCAATAATCGTTTCCACTCTACGTCTCTTCAACTATTGGCTAGAATTCAACAAAACTTTATGGGATCATCAATATCAAGAGGAGATGAGCACATCGTCGACTTGTTACAGTCAGAAATTTAACTCAGAGTCATGGCCCTTGATTAGTTATGCAGTATGCATATATAGCAATAATCGTTTCCACTCTACGTCTCTTCAACTATTGGCTAGAATTCAACAAAACTTTATGGGATCATCAATATCAAGAGGAGATGGGCACATCGTCGGCTTGTTCCGGTCAGACACTTTAACTCAGAGTCATGGCCCTTGATTAGCTATGCAGTATGCATATAGAGCAATAATTGTTTCTGCGCTACTTCTCTGCAACTACTGGCTGGAAATCAAGGAAACTTAATGAGAACCTTCAATACCAGGAGGAGATGGGCACATCGTCCCTTTGTTCTGGTCAGACACTTTAATCAGAGTTATTGCCCTTGATTATGCAGTATGCATATAGAGCAATAATTGTTTCCACGCTAGTTCTCTGCAACTACTGGCTGGAATTAACGAAACTTTATGGGAATCATCAATATCAAGAGGAGATGTGCACATTGTGGGCTTGTTCCGGTCAGACCCTTTAACTTAGAGTTTTGGCCCTTGATTAGTTATGCAGTATGCATATAGAGCAAAAATCGTTTCCCCCGCTTCTTCTCTGCAATTATTGCCTGGAATTCAACGAAAAATTTATGGGAACCTTCAATACCAAGTGGAGATGCGCATTTCGTCTCCTTGTTCAGGTCAGACACTTTAACTCAGAGTTATGGCCTTGATTAGTTTTATGCAGTATGCATATAGGGCAAACATTATGGGAACCTTCAACACTAACTCAGAGTTATGGCCCTTGATTCGTTATGCAGTATGCATATAGAGCAATAATTGTTTCCGCGCTACTTCTCTTTGTTGCCTTGTTCAAAGCAGACCCTTCATTACAGAGTTATGGTCCTTGATTAGTTATGTAGTATGCATAAAGAGCAATATTGCTATTTCTTTGCAACTGCTGTATTGATGTCAACAAAACTTCATGGGAACTATGGATACAAAAAGGCAATTTACATCAGTTCTCATGGCAATGTCCAGATATTAGTATTTTCCACCGAGTAATGGCTCTGTTATTGCCCTGAATATTTATTATATAAAAAGAATATTACTGTTTAGGCCATGATAAATATATAAATAAAGCCTTATGTCTTCAGTTGTTGTGTTAGTAATAACCAGTACTTGGCGGGGGATATAAATTCAACGAATTTGCTTGTTCAATATTTTTTCTGTGTGGAATTAATGATTTGTGAAATTTGATTCTATGATTCCATAAAGTTTGAATTATGTGAATTTGCTAATTGTGGATTTTAAAGTTGTGTTAACTGTGAAATTAATGATTTTGAAAAGTTTTATTTTAGGTGTGAATTATTTATCCTTAAAATTGTTCTTGTTCCTTTCATTTCACAGAAAATTTCTTATATTCAACATCGGATACTAAATCAATAAAGAAAATGTTGATGTATCATCAATATTTTTCTTCCAAACAATTCTCAATACAAATTTGAAAAATTGGATAATTTTTACTAATTAAATGTATAGAAATAATGAAAATTAACCACACAGAAGCGAGTGGTCCATGTCTAAAACTATGCTGTTGTTTTATAATGGACATATTTTGAAGCAGTGAAGTCAAAAATGGTTGGGGGAATCATGATCTTAAAAAAAAAACAACAAGACACATCATAATTCTATAAACAGAACATATATTTTATTGAAATCATTTGAACAGGTGTGAATCAAAGACAACTAATTATGAGTAAATATTGACATATCAGTTTATCATCGATATTTGTTATCCGATAACTTGTTGATAATGCTTTGCACTGAATCAATGACAGCTTAAGTAGCATTCTTGTAAAAGATGTGGTGTAACTGATCATATAAGAGCTGGTCTGCATTTCACAAAATGTCCTACGTGTACCAAGTCCTAGGACTTATGACGAGCTAAAGGACTTATTTAAGACTGTTCTGCTAAATATTTTTTTTTTACTTTTATGTAAGTCATTCTCTTGAGAAAAGTTAAAAAATACAATGCCATGCTTTTCAATTTTCTATGTGTAAATGTTTATCAGCATTTGTGTATAGCTATTTAGAAATAATTGAAAAGTCTTAACATAGGAGTCATAAGTAAGGACATTTTCTTCAAAACGAAAATTGTCTCAGTTTTGGTCTTAAGACATATTTTAGACTAAGTACTTTCAATGAAACGCAACCTTTTGAATTTACAGCTTACAGGATTATGGAATAAGTTGTCAACCTGTAAACGTGTAATGGTAGAACCTAGAGCAGCTGATAGGGAAGATTTTGATGGCATGATGAAAGCATTCTACGAGGTTGTCAAGGGAGATCTATATAATCCTTATCTGGATGAAGGTAATTTGACCCTGACTCTACTATATTTGTGTAATGGACTTGCCCCCTTGGAAACTTTTAGAACAGTACATTGTTATCTTAAGGGGTTTCAGTATGAAAAAAGTTTTTACTTAGAATACAATGTACTGCAAAATCATTTTTGTTTGTGGGGCACTAATTTTTGTGTCTTTTGTGGATAGGTCAGTCGAAGAATTTAAGATCCAATGAAATTTCATTTTGTTTGCTGTAAGATTATTTTACATCACATTATTTACATTTTATCTTTTGGAAAAATAGACAGTCCATGAATTTAAGAATTCACAAAAAAATCTTCTTGATGACAAAAAAACATGAAATTTCATGCCCACAAAATTAAGTAAATTTTAAAAAAAGTAGCATGGACAGCTTTAAACTGGTTGCTAAGGTAATGTATTATTGCAGTTTGCATTTAAAGGGTTAAATCATTTCGACGATATGACCTTTCTTAAATGATTTTGACTGAACAAAAATCCTTTGTGAACTTGAAAAAAAACCTGATAAGAGTTTTGCATGTAAGATTGATCTAAAAAATCACTTAATGTATTCTTTTGAAAATTCACACATGACTTCAGGTTCATAACTGAATATGACTTTTTTAGAGCAATAAATCTAGCTGATTTATAGGCCTTTGTGAAACTAGAAAATTCCTGGTTGAAGTTTTGCATGCAAATCATTGACATTTAAAAAAAATGACCTCCAAATTGTTTGACAAAAAACAAAACAAAACAAAGTTTACCATCTTGTTTCAAAATAATGACTAAGATAAATCTTTTAACAGTTATATTGATCAAAGACAAACATGTTTTCATCTCCTACAGAATAGATATATTTATAAGTTATGTCATCTCTATTTAAATGTAGAAGTTGAAAAATGGACATTTATGTTTTTTACAAAATGAACAAAATCAAAGAAAAGCATATTTGAAAAAGAAAATGTTAGTTAGAAATTAATTCTAATTAAAACAAGCATGAAATAGAGAAGAGGGTGGGTTGATAAATCTTTTCAAATTTGTTATATATCATGGCTTTATCTTCATAATAATTCTAAACATGTGTGCTAAAAAAACTCAAGTTGATTTCACATCTTGTGTCAGAAATACATTCATTGTAAGTTTTAATACTAGTCTACCTAAATTTCACTTATTTTACTTTAAAACCTTTAAAAAGTATATTTTAAACTGCAAAATTAATATCTCCAAATTATTTTAAATTTTTTATTTTATTTTGAAAAATGAAAGAAAAATTTATAATCTGACAAGACAAAACAAAAGAAAACAGTATCATAAATCATCAATGGAAAAAAGTCCCCCTCTCCAACCCTGGTTTAATTTTGTAAAAAAAAGAAGTAATTGCATACATACATTGTATATACATATATTTTACTTGTGTACATATATACATATATTTACAATTGTTTATGTTTTGTTATGTCTGCATTGTTTACCATTGCTTGGTTCTACATCATTTTATACATTTTGATAATATTGCGACTCTCTGTGTTGTATTCTGTACTTAAATGAAGTGTACTGGTCTCAGCACACCAACATACAGCTCGAGGATTCGTTACATTCTCCAGTATAGTTGTCCTGTCTTTACAATCACCACTTACTCTATATATACATTTAGTCATGTAATCACTCACAAAGAAGGACCCGTCATCTAACAGTGAAATACCCCTTGGGCTTCCAATGTCTACATTCCTTCCTATCATCTCTCCCTGCCAGTTAAACCATATGATTTCTGTTTTGTGGTTATCAGACACATAGATTGAATGACTGTTTGTGGTGACATACCAAGGATCACTGAAAATACTGTCACCATTGGAGTCTTTCTCAACTTTAATTTTAACATTACCTTTCAAGTCCATGATTTGGAGTTTATCAGGATCTAAAAAGGTAACTGCAAGTTTACCCTGATGATGGCTTATTCCACGGCACTCTCCGTCTACTTTCAGTTTGTTTTTCAATGAGAAAGAGTTTGAAGAGAAGGAAATGAACTGTATTGTGTAAATGCTTGGTAATGTAACAGCAAGTGTATCTCTGGTCACTATGGTGATATCCCAGGGGTTTGATACAAGCTGTAGTTGTTTGATTGCTCCACAGTTTATGTCTTTCATTTTAATTGAGTCATTATTATAATCTGCTACAAATAATTGGTTCTGAGGAGAGACAGTTATACCAGTAATCCAGCAATCATATATAGCTGAGAATGTATTAACTTTGATGTTTCTAGGGGTAGACATTTTCATTGGTACATCGTCCTTTTTCTTGGGTTGAGCTTGTTGTTTTAGTTCCCTTTTTATCAATGTTCCTAATGATTTCTCATTCTGAAGGAGTTTTTTGATTGCTGGATTTGGTTCAAAAGTGTATTCATCAACATCATCGGTTGTTGGTAGTTGTGTAGTTATATTTTCATTGTGTAATATCAGTTGCTGAGCTATTTTCAATTCAGTAAACAGTTGGTCAGTTTTCTTGTTGGTGTTGAGATGTTTTAGAGTATCAGCTGATGCTTGGAGTGATTTGTTGATGTCATCACATGTTGTTTCTGTTGTTTCCAATTTGTTGTTGTTGTCATGTTGAATTGTTGTTGCAATATCCTTTACTTCTTTTTCTAGTTCATCTAATCGTTTGTTTATCTCTTTTCTAAAGTTGTCCATTTCTACTATAGCGTCTTTCAGAGAAATCGTTGATTTAGCAATTCTTTGTTTCAGATCTTTTTTAATCTGGCAGCATTTGTCTGTCAGTTTGTCAATATCTTTTAGAGTTTCTTTGAACTCCATGCTGTTTAAAGTCTTTCCTGATATATCAGGTATGTAGTCCACATGGCAGGATGTTGTTGGGTGTTCAAGGGTCACACAAACGCTGCATATAAGTGTATTATGGTCATGACAGTAAAACTTGATCACTTCTTTGGTATGTTTGGTACAAGACTTGGATAAATCACCATTTTTTTTACCTGAAGTAGATTTAATTGACTTACTGAGGTTTTGTTTATGTGGCATGTGATCTTTGTCTAGAAGCTGATGATGGCGTAGTGGTTTTGGTCGTCTGTGAGTGTTAAAGCAAGTTTGACATAAATGTACCTCACAATCCACACAGTAACCAAATGCAGGTAGTCTGATGTCATCTTTGTCACATTGTTCACAGAAAATGTCAAAATCTTCAGCACCACCTTGAGATAGTGTAGATGATAGTTTCTGAGATGCCTTTTTACCAGGCACAGCCATAATGTAACCTAGAATAGAAAATAGTAGATTCTAGAAGTGTTCAACGGTTGCGTTATGTTCATAACGAATAAAGAAACTTGAAAGAAAATAATTTTCTGTCTAATTCTTGCTGTAAATTCATTTTATTTTGTGGACTTGAAAATGTGTTTTTTTTTTAATTGAACAAAATGACTTTTCTAACAGTTTATTTTCCAAATGTCATCATTGTACTTTTACTTTGTGAAAAGCTTTTTAAGCAATATTATACCATACTGGTAACCTACTGAATTTCTCAAATGGACATGTCTAGCTTCCATTTTGGGAGTTGTCCATTATCAATATTGGGGGTATCAAGGCTTCTGTGACTTTTAAAGGGTAGACACATCGCTGTTGACACACCAAACCCAACAAATAAAAAAATAATCCTGTTTGAGTTGTGGGTGGGGCACAGAAAATGTCTCTCAAGGTTATTCATGTTAAATCATTTTAGAGTAATAAATTATAAGTACAAAGGAAACTTTATTTAAGTTTTAAACATAGATATTGAGTAAATTTACTCACCAGTGATTTAAACTTCTCATAAGGTTATTGAAAAAAATGTCTTCTTAAGTTCCTGATCTGACAAGTCATTTCCTGTCTACGCAATGGTATGTAAACTTGTTAAGTTAAATTTATAAAATGATATCATGTTACACCCACACTAGATATTCAATACATTACATTTGATTTAAAGCAGTAGTTTAAGGCTTCTATCTTTTTTGTAGTCAGGTTTTATAAATTGATTATTTAAACAAATGAATAAAATGCCTGCTGGTAAGAAATTCAATTGAAAACGCCTTGCATAAAAATTGTCAGTTAGAAGAAAAACCCAGTGATGTAGATGGTTTATAACATTATTTATGTAGCTCTTGGTTGGTTTATAAAACCATTTCTATAGAGTGAAAATATATCACAATATGTTTGTATAGTATAAATGGGACAATTTTATATGACATTATAAAAGACTGCTTATCTTGTTTTTTTTATGTTTGGCTTTTTTAGCTGTTATTAAGTAAGTTAGATGCATAAAAGAAAGAGGTTAAACGATTTAAACAGCTGAAAAGGGGCAACCTATTAGCAACTGCATCAATTTAAAACATTTATTGTTTTCTTATTAATGTATCATTATCTACATTCCATTGGTATGCGTAGTGAGATTTATCAAGATAGACTTGACGTTTATTTAACAGATTCTCCATTCACCCCTTTTTTAACAGATTCTCCATTCACCCCTTTTTAGCTCACCTGAGCACAAAGTGCTCAAGGGTGAGCTTTTGTCATCACTCTGTGTCCGTCGTGCGTCCTTCAAAAAATGGCGTCAAACTTTTCAAACAACATCTCCTCCTAAACCACATGGCCAATTGCAACCAAACTTTACAGAAATGATCCTTAGGTGGACCCCTCTCAAAGTTGTTCAAAAATTTAAATTCCATTAAAAACTCTGGTTGCCATGGCAACCAATAGGAAAAACCTAAAAAATCTTTTAAAAAACCCTAACAGCTAGAGCTTAGATATTTGGCATGAAACATCTTCTAATGAGTGTCTATCAAGTTTGTTCAAATCAAGGTCCTGGGGTCAAAATTTGCCCCGCCCCAGGGGGTTATTGATTTTCCCTATATGCATATAGTAAAAAACTTAAAAAATCTTCTTTTAAAGAACTCAAAGAGCTAGAGCTAAGATATTTAGCATGAAACATGTTTTAATAAGTGTCTACCAAGTTTTTTCAAATAAAAGCCCTGGGGTCAAAATTGGCCCCGCCCCGGGGGTCATAGATTTTCCTTATATGTGTATAGCAAAAACTTAAAAAATCTTCTTTGAAAAAACCCAAATAGCTGGAGTTTATATATTAAGCATGAAACATCTTCTAGTGAGTGTCTACAAAGTTTGTTCAAATAAAAGCGCTGGGGTCGAAATTGGCCCCACCCCGGGGGTCATTGATTTTCCTTATATGACAGTGTATAGCAAAAACTTAAAAATCTTCTTTGAAAAAACCCAAATAGCTAGAGTTTAGATATTAAGCATGAAACATCTTCTAGTGAGTGTCTCCAGAGTTTGTTCAAATAAAAGCGCTGGGGTCGAAATTGGCCCCACCCCGGGGGTCATTGATTTTCCTTATATGACAGTGTATAGCAAAAACTTAAAAATCTTCTTTGAAAAAACCCAAATAGCTAGAGTTTAGATATTAAGCATGAAACATCTTCTAGTGAGTGTCTACCAAGTTTGTTCAAATAAAAGCCCTTTGGTCAAAATTGGCCCTGCCCCAGGGGGTCTTTGATTTTCCCTATATGCATATAGTAAAAACTTAAAAAATCTTCTTTTAAAGAACCCAAAGAGCTAGAGCTAAGATATTTGGCATGAAACATCTTCTAATGAGTGTCTACAAAATTTGTTCAAATAAAAGCCCTGGGGTCAAAATTGGCCCCGCCTCAGGGGGTCATTGATTTTCCCTATATGCATATAGTAAAAACTTAAAAAAATCTTCTTTTAAAGAACTCAAAGAGCTAGAGCTAGGATATTTAGCTTGAAACATGTTGTAATGGGTGTCTACTAAGTTTGTTCAAATAAAAGCCCTGGGGTCAAAATTGGCCCTGTCCCAGGGGGTCATTGATTTTCCTTATATGTATATAGCAAAAACTTAAAAAATCTTCTTTGAAAAAAACCAAATAGCTGGAGTTTAGATATTAAGCATGAAACATCTTCTAGTGAGTGTCTACAAAGTTTGTTCAAATGAAAGCCCTTGGGTCAAAACTGGCCCCGCCCCGGGTGTCATTGATTTTCCTTATATGTGTATAGCAAAAAACTTAAAAATCTTCTTTGAAAAAACCCAAATAGTTAGAGTTTAAATATTAAGCATGAAACATCTTCTAGTAAGTGTCTACAAAATTTGTTCAAATAAAAGCTCTGGGATCAAAACTGGCCCCGCCCCAGGGGTGTCATTGTTTTTAACTATATTTGTATAGTAAAAACTTAAAAAATCTTCTTTTAAAAAACCCAATGCGCTAGAGCTTGGATTTTTAGCATGAAACATCTTCTTATTGGTGTCTACCAAGTTTGTTCAAATAAAAGCCCCTAGATTAAAATTGGCCCTGACGGGGGTGGGGGGGTGGGGTAAAATCAGCTTGTCCACACTTCATCAGCGAAACCGCTGGGTAGATTTCAGTGACACTTCACAAGATTGCTTGTCACCATGCATTGTTGTGCATACTATTTTTATTTTCTGCTTCATATTTATTGCCCCTTAATGGTCAATTTTCAAATAAAATAAGCTTGTCCGCGTTTCATCACCAAAACCGCTTGGGGGGATTTCAATAAAACTTCACAGGATTGTTTGTCACCAAGCCTTGTTTTGCATAACCCCTTGATTTTTTGCTTGAATTCTTTTTGCACAGTTATGGCCTCTTTATGATCAATTTTTGAGTAAAGTAAGCTTGTCCATGCTTCATCACCAAAACTGCTGGGGGATTTCAGTGACACTTCACAATATTGTTTGTCACCAATCCTAGTTGTGCATACTTTCTTAATTTTTTTGCTTGATTTTTTTTGGGCATAGTTATGGCCCCTTAATCATCAATTTTTGAGAAAAAATACATTGTCTGCGCTTCAGCACCAAAATTGCTAGGGGGATTTTAGTGAAACTTCACAGGATTGTTTGTGACCAAGCTTAATTGTGCAGACTCTTATGAAATTTAAGCTTGATTTATTATGCTTGTTAAGCATATAGTTGCTGCTTTGTCTGTCCATCCGGTAATCTTGTCCGCACTTCATCTTCAAAATCCGCTGTGGGAAATTCATTGAAACTACACAGGAATGAACAGTACCATCCCTAGTTGTGCATATCGCCAGCACATTCTACTCGGCTGCATTAAACAGCCGCCAGAGCTATGAAAATAAATACAAAAATATTGTCCGCGCTTCATCTCCAAAACGTCTGAGAGTTATTAGTATCATCCCTAGTTATTCATATTGCTCTGCTTCATAAAATGGCTGCCAGAGCTATAAATAGAAAAATCTTGTCTGGGCTTCATCTCAAACACCGCTGGGGGATTTCAGTGAAACTACACAGGAGTGATCAGTATCATCCCTAGTTGTGCATTTATTTTTGATTTAACCATGAAAAAATTGACTTATGCATACATAAATTTATATCAAGACAAAAAAAAAACCCCAAAAAACAAAGATCAAGATTAATTCAAGGATCATCAAGGATGAATGTCCATATTTATTCCTAACATACTGAATTTGTGAGGGAAAAAATGTTTATGGGTTTGAAAATGGTTGCCAATGGGGCATTTAGTGTTAAAAGAAGAAACCATAGTGTAAACTCGGAAAGAATGTTTGTCTTTCTGTCTGTCTGTCAGATATTTTGTGACTGCTTTGTATCTGAAGGAAATTTGAATTTTACTCAGCAGTCCATACTGCTCAAATACTATATTGGTGAATAAGACCTTTTTTTATAGCCACAAAAATAATACAATGTCAAACATACTGTCAAGTATTGTAAAACAAGAGTAGTGAAGATATTATAATATATTTTTGATACACATTATAGCTGAGTGTAATGATGATGACTCTGAGATAGATGGCGCTCTGTTCTTTGCTGTATGCCGAGGGAAAGTTAGTGAGGGGATGGATTTTGCTGATGACAATGCCAGAGCTGTTATTACAGTAAGTCTCCCTTCTGATCTGCAATAATGTTAACTCTTTGGTCACCAAAAATTAGGTTCATATTTCTTGCATATATAGGAATGAAAAAAAGAGGATTGGATCAAGCACCCTAAACCAGCCCTGATTATTAAAATTTACGTAATTAAAATGAAAGATGTAAGCAGTAAAGGGGCAGTCCTAATACTTTTTCAACCTCTTTAGTATTTGAATATAGGTTGGTTTACCTTATCCTAGCTTCAATATTTGTATATGATAATCAATTTATTGGAAGGAACACCTTATCCTAGCTTTTATATGTATATATAATTATGTATTTATACCCTGGAAACGAAGTTTGGGGAGGTATATAGGAGTCACTTGGTAGTCAGTCGGTCCCATTGCATTTTCCTCGTCCGGAACATAACTTGAAGACTAGTTGGAATTCAATACAACTTCATACAATGGTCAAGCACATTCAGAGGAAGTGCAGTGTACAAAAACCATAACTCCATCTTCAATGATTACAGAGTTATTGCCCTTTGTTTCTTTTCCTTGTCCGGAGCAGATCTTAAAAACTACTGGTTGGAATTCAAAACAACATCATACAATGGTCAAGCACAATAAGGGAAAGTGCAGAGCACAAGAACCATAACTCTATCTTAAGTAATTACAGAGTATTTGCTATTGTTTCTTTTCCATTGCTTTCTTTTCTTCGGACCATAACTTGAAGACTGATTATTGGAATTCAATATAACTTCATACACTGGTCAAGCACATTGAGAAGAAGTGCAGTGGACAAGAACCATAACTCCATTTTAACTAATTACAGAGTTATTTCCCTTTGTTACTTTTCCTAGTTCAGAGTATACTGGTTGGAATTGAAAACAATTTCATACAATGGTCAAGCACTATAAGAGAAAGTGCATTGCATAAGAACCATAACTCTATCAAAAGTAATTACAGAGTTATTGCCCTTTGTTACATTTCCATCGCTTTTTTGTCCGGAGCATGACTTGAAGACTAATGGTTGGAATTCAATACAACTTCATACAATGGTCAAGCACAATGAGAGAAAGTGCAGTGCACAGGAATCATTACTCCATTTTGACTAATTACAGGAGTTATTGCCCTTTGTTACTTTTTCTTGTTCGGAGCATAACTTGTGAACTACTAGCTGGAATTCAATACAACTTCATACAATCGTCAAGCACACATTAAGAGGAAGTGCAGTGCACAAGAACCATTACACCATTTTGACAAATCACGAAGAGTTTGAAGATACACATTCATGTCCGGACTGTAACTTTGTCATGGATGGAAGGATTTTGGAATTACTTGGCACAAATGTCTATCACAACAAGATGATGTGTCGCCGAAAAGGCTCATGTCAGTCTTTTTGTCCGTGTTTCCCCACTTACACAACAATCATGTCCAGACTATTACTTTGTCATGCATTTAGGGATTTTGAAATTACTTGGCACAAATGTCTATCGCATGACAACATTCTGTCGCGTCCAGGAACCACGTCCCTTTTCATAATACCTGCATGCTTAAGAATCCTTTTGGGGGGCATTTATTATTTATGTGACAGCTCTTTATTATACCCCCAAAAACGAAGTTTTGGGGGGTATATAGGAGTCACCCGGTGGTCAGTCGGTCGGGCGGTCGGTCCAGACGTCCGTTGCATTTTCCTTGTCCGGAGCATAACTTGAAAACTAATGGTTGGAATTCAATATAACTACATACAATGGTCAAGCACATTGAGAGGAAGTGCAGTGCACAAGAACCATAACTCTATCTTGACTAATTACAGAGTTATTGCCCTTTGTTACTTTTCCTTGTCCGGGGCATAACTTGAAAACTACTGGTTGGAATTCAAAATAACTTCATACAATTGTCAAACACATTAAGGGGAAGTGCAGTGCACAAGAACCATAACTATTTACAGTAATTACAGAGTTATTGCCCTTTGTTACTTTTCCATTGCTTTTTTTTTGTCCGGACCATAACTTGAAGACTAATAGTTTGAATTCAATATAAGTATATACAATGGTCAAGCACATTGAGAGGAAGTGCAGTGCACAAGAACCATAACTCTATCTTGACTAATTACAGAGTTATTGCCCTTTGTTACTTTTCCTTGTCTGGGGCATAACTTGAAAACTACTGGTTGGAATTCAAAACAACTTCATACAATTGTCAAACACAATAAGGGGAAGTGCAGTGCACAAGAACCATAACTCTATCCAAAGTAATTACAGAGTTATTGCCCTTTGTTACTTTTCCATTGATTTTTTTGTCCGGACCATAATTGGAAGACTAATGGTTGGAATTCAATATAACTACATACAATGGTCAAGCACATTGAGAGGAAGTGCAGTGCATAAGAACCATAACTCTATCTTGGCTAATTACAGAGTTATTGCCCTTTGTTACTTTTCCTTGTCCGGGGCATAACTTGAAAACTACTGGTTGGAATTCAAAGCAACTTCATACAATTGTCAAACACAATAAGAGGAAGTGCAGTGCACAAGAACCATAACTCTATCTGTAGTAATTACAGAGTTATTGCCCTTTGTTACTTTTCCAATGCCTTTTTTGTCCGGACCATAATTTGAAGACTAATGGTTGGAATTCAATATAACTTCACACAATGGTCAAGTACATTGAGAGAAAGTGCAGTGCACAAGAACCATTACTACATCTTGACTAATTACAGAGTTATTGCCCTTTGTTACTTTTCCTTGTCCAGAGCATAACTTGAAAACTACTGTTTGGAATTCAATACAACTTCATACAGTTGTCAAGGACATTAAAAGGAAGTGCAGTGCACAAGAGCCATGACTCCATTTTGACAAAATACAGAGTAACTGCCCTTTGATACTTTTCCTTGTCAGGAGCATAACTTAAAACATACTGGTTGGAATTCAAAACAACTTCATACAATGGCCAAGCACAATAAGAGGAAGTGCAGTGCACAAGAACGATAATTCTATCTTCAGTATTTATAGAGTTATTGCCCTTTGTTCCTTTTCTTTGTATTTCTGGATTTATTACAGAGTATTTCAATTAAACTTCATCAATGGCCAACCACATTGAAAAGAAATGCAACATATAAGAACCACAACTATCTTTAATTGCTCACAACCATAACTCTATATTTCAATTCTTTTACTATGTATTCTGTTACTAGTAACATCCTCATTTCGGAAGCAGTCTTGTGGGGGTATTAATCACATTTAGTGATAGTTTTAGTTGATTTATGTTTATCTGTTTATAGGTTAGAATACCTTTCCCTATTGGTACAGTGTATATGCTTATCTATTGAAAGGTTGGAATACCTTATCCTAACTTTAGTATTGGTATATATTTATTTGTTTATAGGTTGGAATACCTTATCCTAACTTTAGTATTGGTATATGTTTATTTGTTTATAGGTTGGAATACCTTATCCTAGCTTTAAAGATGTCCAGGTGAAGCTTAAAAGAGAATACAACGACAAACATAAGATTGATAGAGGACTTCTAAGTGGAGGTGACTGGTATGAAATCCAGGCATTTAGGGCATTAAACCAGGCTCTAGGAAGGTGTATAAGACACAGGTAAGTTCATACAAACTTAATAAAATTATAATGTTTAAAAATATTTGGTAGGTATATATATAGATTTGGATACTTTTGAAGTTTATTAAATTTTAGAAATAATAAATGTTCATTTGATTTTTCTCATTGACCTATATCTAAGTTATTAAAGAAAAACTTTGATTCTCCACAGAAAATTAAAATTATGTTGTGTTATGTAAGAATGTTCTGTTTATCTTACAGAAAAGACTGGGGAGCCTTGATCATTGTTGATGATAGATTTGTTAAAAGAACAGAAAAATATTGCAAGAGTAAGTACAGTAAAAACTTCCTAATCTATATACTCAATAATCTAGCATATTGTCAAGTTCAAACAATTTTCCTCTTTAAGGTTTGTTGTCCAGTCCAGATAATTTTAAAATCCAAATTTTTGCATTCTTTATTCTAAATACAAATGCTTTCCCTGTCCATCATTGACCATGTTGCACTTATTATTGACTCCATTATTTAGAAGACCAGAAAGAAACAAAAAATTCATGTGATTATGTCAAGCATTCAAAGAACTTAAAGGCACATTATGCCTCAGAAATTTGTGTTTTTAAGTAACGCTGAAGATGTAGTTATGTGTTGTAAAGGTAGCAAAAATGTAAACAAAGTAGTATTTTAACTTTCATACAAAAAAAATATAAATATTATACCAACAGCCAACAGGAATAGCAAGCAAAAGAAAGTTCATATTTATAGCAGATGAGTATGTTTTTGGAATACAGAAATAATCAGGTTTTTAGAAATCAAATTTAGAGTTCAAAGAAAATAATTTTTAATCATTATTATATAGTTCCATTGTGTGTTTTATGTGTATTAATAGGTTTGTCAAGATGGGTAAGATCGAAGGTACAAACATTTGATGTGTTCTCTGACTTTCTCACGTCCATGTCAAACTTTACTGAGAAAATGATCAAAGAAATGCCAAAAGTGAGGTAAGTATATGTATATACCAGAATGTTAAAGATATTGAACCTTTCTTGAAATAGTTGTTTTTGAACTTTTTATCTAACCAGAAAGTTCATTTTGTAAAATTTCCATATCTCTGTTTTGTTAACAGAATACAAAATTAGGGAAAAAATGTTTTTACCCTTGAAGCATTAGTAATGATAGTTTTCAAAGAATGTTAAATTTACTAATTTAATTCAAATATTATATTGAGATGAAATGGTTATATTTTATACAGTTTTAGGAATTTGTTTATTTTGTCTTGATAATAAGTTTTTGTTATGATATATATATCTGTTTTATCTGCATTTGACCAGTGCAGACCAAGATTGATGGCACTGATGATTGTATGCATTGTTTGCTATTTAGTAAGAACCTTACTTTACTTTCTTTCTAAAATATAATGAATGTTTGGCCATTTTGAAAGATGGACAAAGTACAATTAAGATATTAAGTTTGGTAAGAGATAACATTGTCACCTAGTGCAATAAAACTGGTCAACACCTATTAAATTGAGAAGGTCCTAACTCATTACTGCACTAAGGTGACGAATTATATACATTGTTATTGGTGTACATATGTCTAAATATATCTCAATAGTAAAATGATTTATTTGATTATTTACAGTCCAGACACGTCATTTATTCCCAGTACACCATGTGATGACAGAAGAGATTCTGTTTATAAGAGACATTCACTAGATAATTCATACTTAAATAGTACTATACAGGCTTCACCCTATTTCACGTAAGTATTTTGTTATCTTTTTTGTAGTTTGAGTTACTATGGAAGATCTTTGATGCTCCTTCATCCAATATTTCTTACAGATTAATACATGAATAGAATCTAAGATCTTCTGTAAGCTATCTTAGATTGCTCCTTATATAATAATAATAATAATAAGATTGAGCTTTTAGTTGTATAGAGCCTGGCCAGACAGCTTGAATATACACACTGCCTCTGTATGGGGCATCTAGGTATTTCATTATCAAAGATAAAGAACAGATAATTAATAAATGGCTGAAAGTTTTTACTAAATTGTTCTAGCTTTTCTTGGTGTAAATTTTAAATTAGCTGTGGAAGGTAAACGGCAAAAGTCATATTCAGTTTAAACAGGTTATCTTTTATTTTATGTCTGTCAAAATAAGTGTTTATAGGCTATATTTTACCATGGCTGAACTAACTTGGATGCTGTTTAATAGTACATGTATTTTTGATGACAGCATAAGTTGGTGGGGTCACAGACGTCAAGGTCACTCATGCTTAAAAATATATTTTTACACTTCTGCTCATGAAACTCTTGTTTATTGACTGAATTCTTATTATTCTTATTTGTTGATAAATTTCTTTAACAGATTCCTTTAACTATAATTTTCATTGGAGTAAGATGACACTTAGGTCAAGGTCACAAGTGCAGAAAACATTTTTTGAACTTTTGCTTATACAACCTTTGAAAAGTATTTTTTAAACATAACACAAGTGTTAAGGTTTAGTTATGTTGTGATTTTTAGCTCGACTATACAAAGTATATGGAGAGTTGTCCTACTCGCCCCGGCGTCGGCGTCCGCGTCCAGATTTCAGATTAAAGTTTTGGTGCAGTAAGATATTTTTCACTATAACTTTGTCATTTCTTAAAGTATCAACTTCAAACTTCAAATATATGTTCCTTATCATCAACCACATCTTATGTGACAAGGTTCATAACTCTAGCACTAATATTTTTAGATTTATCTCCCCTTGAACTTAGAATTTTCCTTAAAAAATACTATTTTTACTGTTACTTCTTTATTTCTTAAGGGATCAACCTCATACTTCAAATATATGTACCTTATCATCATCCCCATCTTATGTGACAAGGTTCATAACTCTAGCACTAATATTTTCAGATTTATCTCCCCTTGAACTTAGAATTTTCCTTAAAAAATAATATTTTTTACTGTTACTTATTTATTTCTAAAGGGATCAACTTCATACTTCAAATATATGTAACTTATCATCATCCACATCTTATGTGGCAAGGTTCATAACTCTAGCACTAATATTGCAAGAATTATCTCCCCATAAACTTAGATTTTTTTTACTAGAAAAATGTTATTTTTTACTATAACTTTTTAGCTCGACTTTTCTATGAAAAGGGGAGCTATCCTACTCGCCCCGGCGTCGGCGTTAGCGTTGGCGTCACACCTTGGTTAAGTTTTTCGTACCACCCCACTTTATTTCAGAAGTATTACAAGTATGGCTTTGAAACTTACCATACTTGTTCACCATCATAACCTCCATCTACAGACAAGAGTACATAACTCTGTCAAGGTTTTTGACAGAATTATGGCCCTTTTTTGACTTAGAAAGTGTATTGAGCTTGGTTAAGTTTTTTGTACCACCTCACTTTATTTCAAAACCATTGGAGGTATTGCTTTGAAACTGACCATACTTGTTTACCATCACGACCTTCATCAACAGACAAGAGGACATAACTCTGTCAAGGTTTTTGACAGAATTATGCCCCTTTTTGACTTAGAAAATACATTGAATATGGGTAAAAATCCACTTATTGCCTTAACCCTTTGAGATATTGCTTTGAAACTTTTAATGCTATTTCACATCATTACCCCCCATCTGTACGCAAGAGAAGGTAACTCTGTCAAGGATTTGTTTTAAAATTAAGGCCTTTTATCGACTTAGAATCTTGGTTAAGTTTTTAGTACCAGTCCACTTTTTGACTGAACTGTTTGAGATATTAATTTGAAAGTTGGATATAACTTGTTTACCATCATGGTCCCAAAACATGGGCAGGAGAAGGTAATTCTGTTAAGGATTTTATTTGAATTATGGCCCTTTTTGACTTAGAAACTCAGTTAAGATTTTCATTCTTGTCCACTTGTTGACTTAACCATTTGAGATATTACTTTGGAAGTTGGAGTTCTTATGTGCCATCATGAGACCTATCTGTAAGCAAGAGAAGATAACTCTGTGAAAATGTTTCTTGATTTGTACTTAGAAATTCCTAGTTAAAGTCTTGTGTGCCCTTAACTGTCAAAGTTTTGTTTTATAGGCAAGCACTAAAAAAGTCGAGCGCGCTGTCCTTCTGACAGCTCTTGTTTAGTTTTAAAGGTATCTACCTCAAACTTCAAATACTTATTCCTTATCATCAATTACATTTTAAGTGACAATTTTCGTAACTCTTGAAAGCAATATTTACAGATTTATCTTTCTTTGAACTTAGGATTTTCTTTAAGAAATATTATAACTTCTTTACTTTTTAAGGTATCTTCTTCAAACCTCAAATATATATTTCTTATCATTACACACATGTTGTGTGAAAGGTTCATAACTCTAGCATGACTTTTTCTAGAATTATTTCCCTTGATCTTGGAATTTATGTTAATAAATGATATTTTTTTACTATAACTTAATACATAATTATACATAATTTGTTTTTCTTTCATAGTTTTGTCCTCCTTACTGTGTCCCGTATTTTATTTTTCAGCTTGGCGTTCCTGTGAAGCTCTTGTTTATTTTTTAAATTTTTTTGAAACGATTTTATCGAAGTCCACCATTGGTCAGTCTCCCGATTTTCAAAAACTATTTTAAATCCTGAAAACCCCAAGAAGAAGATTTAACTAGCCCCGCTGTTGTTTTCCTGGGGGTTTCTTCCCCCACAGTGCACAAAAGGTGCTTGGGGTTTCTTCCCTACAATACGCAAAGGTGCTTACGGAAACCCCCCTTAATTACAGCAGAGATTTGAATTGATTAAATTCCGGGACAGGACCAAAAAAATCACCTTTAAATTATTGTAAACCCAAAGGGCTCGAGTAAAAAACTTTTTATAGAACCAAAAAAAATGGAGGTAAATGATCAGAAGTAAATCATTGGTTTTTTTTAAACATGAACTTGATTTATTGAAAATGACAAACATTAGTTTACATTATTTGATTCCCATTAAAAATAGCAGTAATTATCTTTGAAAATTTAAAGGGACTCGACTTCATTTTTGAGACATGACAGGACTAAAAATTTCTTTTTTCGTAATTAATGTTCCATTTGTTGTAGGTCTTGATCAATAAATTGTGTGCAAATATCAGATTTTTCACTTACTCTATTGTTTTTTTCTTCAATGTATTGAATCTAATTGTGAAAAATGACTCAAATCAGGCTAAGAATAGCACAAAAATGTGCTTTTCAATTTATATATTAGTAAAATATGTTTAGCTCACCTGTCACAAAAAGACATGGTGAGCTTTTGTGATCGCTTTTCGTCCGGCGTCCATCCGTCGTCTGTCCGTAAACTTTTACTTTAAACGACATCTCCTCATAAACCACTAAGCCAATTTCATCCAAACTTCACAGGAATGTTCCTTTCGTAGTCAACTTAAAAAAATTGTTCAAAGAATGTAATTCCAAGCAGAACTCTGGTTGCCATGGCAACCGAAAGAAAAAACTTAAAATATCTTTTTCTAGAAAACCGTAAGAGCTGGAGCTTAGCTATTAAGCATGAAACATCTTTAGTGGGTGTCTACCAAGTTTGTTCAAATAAAAGCCCTGGGGTCAAAATTGGCCCTGCCCCGGGAGGTCATTGATTTTCCTTATTTGTATATAGTAAAAACTTAAAAAATCTTCTTTTAAAAAACCAAAATAGCTAGAATTTAAATATTAAGCATGAATTATCTTCTAGTGAGTGTCTACCATGTTTGTTCAATTGAAAGCCTTGGGGACAAAATTGGCCCCGCCCAGAGGGGGTCATTGTTTTTCCCTATATGTGTATAGTAAAAACTAAAAAAAATCTTCTAAGAGCTATGGCTTAGATATTTATCATAAAACATTTTCAAATGGATGCCTACCAAGTTTGTTCAAATTAAAGCCCCTGGGTAAAAATTGGCCCCGCCCTGGGGGCCTATATACAGGTGAGTGACCTCATGACCATCATGGCCCTCTTGTTTGCAAATCTTTCTGTTTTATGTGCCTCAGCTGATCTATGTAAGAAATCAAAATTTTATGTCTTTAGAGTTTTGGACCTAAGTGGAGTTCCTTTAAAGTTTAAATCAAAGTTCTTTTTAAGCTTTTCTTTTTCTCTAGATACAAGGAAAGTTTGCATAAAAATGTTATTTAGTATTAAATGCTTCTGAAAATTTCTAGTACATGTTTATACCCAAGATATGTTCAGATTATTCAGATCTTTACTGAACATTTAAAAAAACATGAATCTTATTATTTGCTGTTTTATGTGATTTAGGCAATCAGCAGATGCCCGCCCAGATGCCATCAATGGTTCCTCCGATTGTACCCTTAACACAAGCTGCAGGTCAGCAAGTGGTGTTGAACATGCCTGGAACCAATCAGCATCAAACTATTTTACTGACAATGCCTCAACTTCCGGTGCAAGGAACCAACTTGCCACAGTCTGCCGCTATTCCGGGAACCAGTCTAAAATCTGATTTCAGGGGAGGTAATCAGCTGGACAAAACAAATTCCACAGATGGTATAAAAGCAGAAAATGTGTCTAAAGCAGAAAAGAAAGCAGATATAGTATTCACTCTTGGGTCAAGCACACTTAGTGCAGAAGAACAACTGAAGAAATTTGTTAGTTCAAGTCAAGCTCCACGGAATCAGGCCTACTATGTTGTTGTAAATAAAGGGGAGACAGATGAGAGGGCATTCTTTATTGAACCAAACAAAAAAGGAAAATCTAAACCTAACACGGAAAAGAAAATTGAAGCAGGTAATAACATGTAATTTTTTTTTTTTGTATGTAATATGTACACTAAAGGTATCTTATTTTGTGTTTGTTTTTGAGTACTTTAAGACTGTAGGTGTGACTTTAGACATATTTATCTGCATGTATATACCATCAATACCTATGTTTAGTTTTGGTAATAATCCACTGTTTTCTTCAAAGATTTATCTACCTGTTACAGGCAAATTTGCATTTGGATCTGTTTTCTCCAGCCTCCTCTGAAAATTTGTTTTACCTTTTTGTTTGGTAATAGATGATTGTAGCAAATGAATTTTACTCCTTTTTATATAGGTTCTAATATTGCAATATAAAAAAACTATTGTCTTTTCTGTCCACTTAAGTTGGATAGTAAATTTGAATGTGGTGTTGGAATAAGAATATAATTAATGTCTAAACTAGACTTTAATTTTATGGATGTGTGCACATTGTGTTTTTTCATTTAAGATAAATTAAAATTCTTATGTTATTGAGGGGCGTATGTGACCTATTTTTCAAAGCTAAAACAATTTTCAAAAAAGTGTAAATTCAAGCACTGATTGTAAAATACCTTATACTAAAGAGTGATAAGAAATGATGATATTTTAATATCAACCACTGGCATGAGGTATTTGTTGACATTTGTTGATGTACTGATGCTATTTTCAGAGAAAACTGATGACAGTCTAGTTAAAACACTAGATCCAGTCAAAACAGAGCAGGACAAAAAACCAGTCAAGGTAGAACAGGAAGTGGTAGTGCCTGATTCTTCTACAGGTGATCCAGAACCTCAGAACAAGTTCCTAAAATTTTGCCAGCTTCCAAAAACCCCAGCTAAAGTTCCAGTGGCAGCTGTTACACCTCAGAGACAATCTGAACAGGTTTTTAATTAATCACATGAATGAATTACAGAAATATTAAGATCAAATGAACTTTAAATGTTTAAGAGCTTTTTTTGCTGAAAAAAATATAAACTCCAGATCAAATATCACATTATCATATTATGTTTAGATTTGTTGCAATAATTTACTTACACTTATTTCTATCAAGTATAATTGACTGATTATGAAAAATACTGAGGATCATAACAAGATTGTGGTGTTGTTTTTGTCTCCTACAATATTAACTTATCATGAGTCTCTTGGCAATTTTTATTGACGGTTCTACTCAGCTTTCGTATTCCTCATATTGTAGACAAAAGTTTGCTACATGACCTAAAGCCTAATAAAATGAATGAAAGTGTATATATTGTAGTGGAGATAGGGCTCCTTTTATATATCACCATTCCTGTCTGTCAATAAACATTAATACTTGCATAAAATATAAAAACACACAGGTGTACATATTGCCTCACTTTTGTGGTGCTCTTTTAAAAAACATTGTTAAAAGTAGGATTTAACCCTTGTAGACTGTTTTATAATATTTTTATTCTGTGTTAGAGGATATATCAAAAGGAAACAAAAATATCATTTCTGTTTTTAGGAAATCAAAACAGAAACTGTTGACTCTGTGAAAGAAGAACCAGGTAGTCTTCCCCAGACTATGTCAAAAACTTCACACAATCCTCAAACTACATCAACATCTAGACAGTTACAGCCTACATGTACATCACCTGTACTCTTTGAAGATGGCCAGACGGATGGACCAGCTCCTGACTGTGTAGATAAAACAAATAACCTTGCTGATTTAGATAAAGAACATAGCACAAAGAAGAAACCAATTTTCAAGAAAAGGAATTCACTTTCTACAAAAACACTTAAATCTGAGATTGAGGACTGTAAGGGAACATCAAAAGATGGAGATAGTAATATTGATGAAGTAAATAATGATAAAGACAATGCTGATGATTTTAAAGATGAAAGTAAAGGAGGAAGAAGGATAAAGTCTACAACAAGAGGGAAGGTAGATCTGTCAGTGGTAGATAAAGTTAAACAGGGTAGAAAGAAATCAGATGATGTCCTACAAGAAGCAAAAGATAAGAATGTTGGGGAGGAATTATTAGATGGGGAATCGGCTTCAGGTGATTATTTTTATGTTTTTATCATATGCAGTCTCACATCACTAAATTTAATAATCTACTAAATGTTTAACTTTTTTTATCTTTTATCTAGAATCAATACTACCGAACATATACATTACATTTATAATAAAAATGTCAAAAGTACCAATGTACTGTGTTCTTATAGGAATTCCACTGAGTTCCAAAGGCCTAAAAAACATAAAATTCTTTATAAGTTTTTCAGTTTGAACAGTTGTAGACAATATGTTGTGTAAAGTCATGTCACAGGGCAGTGATTGTTCAATTTTATAGCAGAACTCTTTTCCAAATGGAAGTTTTCTTTTAAATTATGCATTTTCCCCCAACAATCTCCTCTCACATCAGCCTTTTTGCTTCCCAAATTAGCAATTTTACTGATAAGTTTTCCCAAAATCAAGAGACTGATGCTTTTTCCCAATAATGTGAGAACAACCACTGCATGATGAGAAAAATGTGCAGCCTTACAGGGACCTCGGAAAACCGTTCTGCTGTTTTAGCAATTGAGGTATCTGGTCGCTTACACTTTTCTTCCATAAATACATGTATTGAACTGTTCTGAGCTGTGAAAGTCAGTTGGAACAACGTCCTGGTTCAAAGAAGCATACTTGATACAAAATGTAAATTTTCCAAAAGGCATGCGCTTTATTCTCTTATTTTACATAATTGTCTTTATAAAGGTAATGATGTGAATTCGGACGAGGAGTTTCTCAATACCAGAAGACGTGGTGGAAGGAAACGTAAATCAACAAGTAAATTTCAAGAGTGGTCGAAGCGGTCCAGAAAAGGTGTCACATATGAAGATAATGAAAACACTGATGAAAAAGAAAACAAGGTAAAATTCATAATGCATGAAGATATAGTTGATAACTTGGCATAATCCTCTTCCCACCTTCACCTGCAGAATAAGAAGAATGATAAAAACCCTTACGAAATAAACTTGAATATTTATTAAATTATTGTTTTATAACAGTTTCTATTCTAGAAAATAAAGATTTATTTGTATGTTTCATTTCCTATCTTTCAGGCCAGAAACCAGTTTTTATCATGTATAAAATGTGGTAATAAGTTGTTACCACTAGGCCAGTATGAGAAGCAGAAAAAACATCCAGAATTCCTGACCTGTGTTTTCAAGAAGAACACAGAGTTGATATATTTTCCCAACATGAAAAATAAGGATTGCCAATTACAAACAGTTGAAACTGAAACAAATCACAAAGGTAATTAACGTGTACTTGCTTGTCTAATTATTTATAATAATAGTAACATTGCAATTGAATGTTCAAAGTTCTTGAAATGATAATGATTTTTCCAGTACCTCTTTGTTAGAGACTTAACACAACAGAGGGGCCTCCGTGGCTGAGTGGTTAAGGTCATTGACTTCAAATCACTTGCCCTACAGTGCTGAGGGTTTGAATACCGTCAGGGACTTTGGATTCTTTTATTTAGTTAGTTAACAGAATGAAGGTGGTTCTTTGCAAGTTCCCGCTTGTGCCTGAAACAGGCACTTGACATCTTCATCCACCAGTAAAACTGGAAAGTCACCACATCACAAGACATTTATGGTGTCGGTGTGGGAGAATTTGGGTTTTCTGTTATTTCTGATGAACTGGATAAATCAAAGCAAGTCTTCAGTTTCTGTTGGTATAATTATTTGTATGAAATAAACCATTTTGAGCGAAAGCCAGACTTCAGTTCCTTTTTGGTATAATTATTGTATAAATTAAACCACTCTGAGTGATCACCAGTTCTGCTGAAACAGAAAATAACATTACATATTCTTATTCCCCAATGCTAGTCTTTACTATCAAAATTGAGTGTATACATATTTTTGTTTTGCAGGTTTAATGTTGAACAGTGTATATGACGAGACATTAGGATGTTGTATACAATATTTACAATGTAGACAATGTAAGAATGATACAGTGATTGGAGCTAGAGTTCTGCTGGCAGATTCTACCTCACTGTATACAGCTGGACAGGTACTTGTCTTATTTTATAGCGAAAACAAAATCCTCACTGGACAAAATCTTGTTTCTTGACAACATTCTTTATAATTTTATACCTTTTGAGTTTTTTTATACCTAATGAGTTTAAGTGTGATACGAATTGACATCTAATATATGGAAGTTATCCAGATAGCCAGTGGAATGTTAGTGGTGGTTCTACTAAAGTGCCTGCTAATGCCTGAAAAAATGCGTGGATGCCCTGAGGACTTCCTTCACCAGTAAAGCTGGAAAGTTGCCATGACCCTTAAAGTGTTGGTGCAACTTAAAACCAAACAAACACCAAATTAAACAAACAGAACAGACCTCTATCACCAGTGTAAATACATAAGTTAAAAGGGCTTTTCATAGAGTCAAAGTCCTACTGATAAGTACAGACACAGTCCCTATCTTACAGAATGTTGATAGTTCTACTTGTGTGCCCGTTTGTGCATGAAATAATGTGCAGAGGGACGACCGAGGCCTTTCACCACCAGTAGTAAAGCTAGAGTGTCGTCATTAGACCTTTACAGTGTGTAATGTAAAAACCCTACCATAACAGATAAACACAGTCCATTTCTATTTCATGAAAGTATAAGGAATGAAAATAATTATTTCTAATTATTACTTATCTTATTTCAGACATGGATCCTGTCATCAGCTGCTAAGTTATGATGTAGATATTTCACTTCCAAGTTAATCTTGTCATTTTGACAGACTGGTGCTGCTATTTTCAGACATAAAAGGACTGTGAAAATAGAGAAGACTGACAATTGATCTGCCTTCAATCTTTTATCTTGCCAGAAGAATGTCTAGTTACGCTAAATGGAAGTTTTTTGTGTGTGAAAGAAATATTTTAAACCTTTAACCAGCGGGAAGTGAATGTTATTTAAGCCTTTGCCACCAGATATCGAGCAAAGTAAGCCTGCAAATTTCTGTACAGTCTGACCAGCCTCTACACTGTTGATATCTTAACTTTTTTTGTATCTTGATATTGAAATCCCTTAAACTTTGAATAGACTGTTTA